GAAATACTGCACATTAATTTCTATGTTAATCACGTTAGATTTTTAATTTCCACAATCCAGCAATTGCTTTCAACAAAATTTTGAATGTCAAACAAAATTGCTAGGTGGAAAAGGAGTGAAAATAGACATCAGCAACAAAGGTAAAAGTATTATACGGGAACTCAAAATCAATTTTGCTATATCACTATTCAGATTACAAACCCAATGTAGGACATGTGAATTACTAAGACATTAATCCTTCCTTGAGCTACCTGAAGATAACATCATTCTTATTTTCAATGAGTTAAACTTTAGGTTACTGAATAAAGTTTTCATATGGAATGGAAATTATGTTTATAACCAAATAATTTGTTTTATCGTAGGATGAATTGCTTGTGTTTGGCTACGCATCACGAATATACGTAAACGATGATCGCGCCGAATGGGTTGCAGAAGAACGACATCTGATAACACATCCGGCAGATTCGCAGTTACTGATTGATAGGTGAGTTAGTGAAGCACGTTAAATCTTTAAATTGACTTTTGTTCCGTACACCTTTCGAAATAGGTTGGTCAAGATGTGTGGTTTATGGAAGCTCAAAATTGATGGTCTAAACTCAACAAAACTTTTGGTAGGTTTCATTTAATTTTTTGAAGTCTTAATTTTCCATCATAATTGCTGTCATGGGTTGATTAGTACAAATTATTGACACTGAATCAATGGAACCGTTAAATTAAGAAGTACAAGAACTTAATCTTTTTCTCTAGTACTGTATGTGAAATAGCACTATCGTCGAAACGCTCTAAAATAGAGACGAGTTATTCTGATCATGCATCGTTTATGGACTGCTATTTATTTTATGTTTGATAAGGAAGTTTCATCAGCATTTCTTTTCAAATAGTGGGGGCGTGAGAAGTAGTTTGCTAAGAACTAGATTTACTACTTCTTTCATCGTGATTCATATTTTTGGAACTGATTAGTCTGCTTATATATTCTCTGAAACCCGATCAATGCATTAATTTAGAGCCGTAACTCCTTATTATTACTAGTTTTATCTCTTATCTCGTTCTCACTTCCTTTTTGCGTGCAGAATAAGGGGGACTTTTCGAAAAAAGGTATCTCAATTATGAATGATACCCTTCTTTTCATAATTGTGATACTTTTTTTCTTAGTTTTATAAGTCATATGAAAGGTTTTTTTAATCATGCAATAAGGCATTTAAAAGACTGGACGGATGAATAAATTTTGGAAAGAATAGTGCGAAAAAAGGTGCCAAAACAACAATATTTTGAAATATCAAACTAAGGTAAGCGATTGATATCTTGCACTAACTTAACGTTTTTGTCTTTTTGGCAAGAAATTTTAATTACTAAGTATCAAATAATGTATTTCTTCCAACATTTCAGATGTGGATTGGACGTCACACACGCCCAATAGTTTGGGCAGTATGGTGGTATGTACTTTTCGTAAGTGCACTATAATTGTGAGATAAACAGTTTGTTGTTGTGAGAAGCCTAGTTTGGCTTGATTTCAGAAGTAGCATTGGGGATATAGAAACTAAGTTCATAAAGTTTGGAATATCATTTAGAACTTAGTTTCTATGTCTTCACATTGTATTCCTTCATTATTCTACACTGTCATGTAAATATCATTTCCAGGTATGACTGTCGCTTACATCTTTCAAGTACAGAAGCATTAGATATTGCATGTATTACTGGCGGAGGTTATAGTCTAAGTGGGATTGGATATGACTGTCCTGCAGAATTACTCGAAGAGGAAATGTGCGAAGAAGAGCGATATAAAGATATGCATGAAGATATAAAGAGACTTGAACGTAGGAGTATGAAGTTTATATTTGTCTGAATGAATTACTGTATCTTAAGTAGATCAGAAATTGGAAGTTTGTGAATATGTAAAGATATGTCTTTAAAATGTTACTGAGCTATCATTCGATGAATAATTGAGTTGCTGTACTTCATTTTTTTTTTCATATTTCATGTTTATTGTTGAATAAATTGTAGTAATGTTTTTTTAATGTACCTTTATTTACAGAGGAAGAGGAAGAAAAGCGAAAGCGTGCCGAGATTGCATTTAATTATGATGAAAATTGTAAAGAAGCAAGTAGTAGTAGTGAAGAAGAAATTGATGAACCATTTCAACCTCCGGAAAATATCAAACTTCCATTGGGCATGAATTTGGTATATTTTATCAGACGCCATCATTGATATCTTCATTGTTCTTTATAACTAGAAAAATTATTCAGAGAAACTTTTTTTACAGACTTCCTCAGAATAACTCACAGACCTTTATTCTTATTTCTTTTCTACTTAGTAGTTCCACCAAACTGCATTATATCGATGACAATAAATTGGTCCTTTAAATCGTCCTCTTCTCATTTAGCCGGATACAATGAAGCAGAATGCTGTGATAGAGCGTACAGCAACATTTGTCGTTGCCCAAGGTCCTCAGATGGAAATAGTTATCAAAGCAAAACAACGTGGAAATCAGGATCAGGTCCTCACTGCTTGTTCATTTGTTGATTTGAAAAACATGTAATTGGAGAGGCTACTCTAATATTTATTGAAGGATTATTTTTTAGTTTGGTTTTCTGGAATTTGATCATCCTTTGAATGCTTATTACAAATACATCTCAAAACTGATACGAGAAAAGAAGTATACACCAAAATCACATGTTCCAAAGCGTCGTCCGAAATTGAAAAAATTACAACGTTTGGAAGAAGAAAAGCGACTGTTAGAGGAGCAACAGAAACAAAAAGAGGACGTAAATATTGGTAATCTTTATTTTATCAGACTTATTTTATTTTTATTCAGAAAGACAAATTTCATAACTAAATATTAAAATCTACTTTTTTCTATTTTCTGTAGAATCCAATTTGTCGTTCATTTAGATTCATCTATGATAGTTCATTTGTTGATTTGTTATAGGTTCTAATTCTGATAGCGATTCGGGATCTGATATCAGTGGAAATTATCTTCATCCTTTGCTAATGGGAGGAGCACGGAAAACTGAATCCGGAAGTAGTTCTCCGGTAATTGGTCCAAAAACAAAGGAAGAAAATGACGTTGCTACCAAGAAACAGTTACAAGTTGGAAATGATTACAAATTGGGAAAGGTTATTAGCACTTATTTTATTCATGAGACTAATGAAGTTCTTCTGACCTGATGCAGATTTGTAATTTTTGAAATTTTGTTTTTCGCAATATTAGATGTGAGAATACGTATTCATTGCAGCGGAGAATTCTTTCATTTGCAATGTGTGATTATTTGTTTCAGGCTGACGACATGTATTCTTCGCTCTTCAAGAATCTCTCTGATTTAGTTGTCACACAGACAAAAGCAACACAAGTTGCTGGAAGTAAAGATGAGTAAGTTATTGTTTCTTTCACAAAGTCAGGAATAGCGATAAGGAAACTATTCGGCATCGCTTCAATTAACTATCCACATATTATGATCGGATCAAGCAACAACAAAATGATTTTTTAACTGAAGTTCTGTAGTTTTGTAGAGCTATAGAAAAAACAAAAGATTTGGAAAAAGGCGATTACTATGAATGGTATCTGAGTTTCTATGGAGAACCACCACCAAGCAATGAACAGCCGAGTGTGATACCGCCACCACCTGACATTATGCCTACCGTCAATAGCGCTGCTGAATATGTTGCCAGATACGGAATTCAAGCCGAACAAATTTTACTAGGTAAACTGAAATTTTTTGAATCATGTCAAATGAATCTCTTCAAATTTTGAAATGGGACTTTCACATCAACACTTTTTTTAGGGCGACATGACCTTAACATTGGATTTTTGTGTGCTGACGGTCCTTATTATGGTTATTATCATTCGCGTATTCGATATTATCAAAAGATGCATGCTTCCTACATGCAGTCTCAAAAGGTGAGACACACTTTTTAAAAGTATTTTCAGTATTTTTATCTTATCTATACTTCGAATGATTTTAGTCTTTTTAAAAATGCACTTCCTGGACATGGAAAATAGTTTTAAATTTCACTTTTAGATGACGGGAGATGCAGAAACAGAAGAATGGAACACAGCGAAGCAAGACATAGATATTTCAGGTAAGCATTGGACAGCGTTTCCTTTCAACGATATTGCTCAACCATTAAATTACCTTAATAATAATTATAACAGTTATAGAAGGGTGTGATGTGGAACAATCCTGTAAAAGTGACAGTGACATCAGTGAACAATCGAACAAACCATTTTCTGACTTACTGCAAGCACCTCCTCCTCCACCACCTTTTATGAATCGGAAAATGCGTCGTCGAGGTTTCCATGATCCACCACGTACACCTGAACCAACTGTGCAGAATGTTGCTGAAGTTGGAGTAATCGACTTTGATGTCCAGGTTGGGAATTCTTTTGCTGTAGTGAGCTTATCAATTATGGTAATCTAATTGGTCTTAGTTCTTTTTTATATATCAGTGCTTGTGTCCCTATTTTTCTGACTAAGCTGCAGATGATATTCAGAATCATCATCCTGTAAACAACATCACTGCTTATTAAAACCTCTCTTATTATTAAGAGAGGGAGTGAAAACCATTATCCTACCTCTGTTAAAAAAAAAAAAAAAAAAAAAAAAAAACATACAAGAAGGCTTTCCTCATATTCTTTCGTTGCCTCAAGGGAATTCGAAAGTTGTTGCATATTAATTTGATTCAAAAATTTCCTATGCATCATACAGTATTTATTCTAGCTAAATGAAGTGCAGTCACTGCCAGCACTTTTGGATAATCCTGAGGAGCGAGAAGAAAGCTCAAACTCGTCAATGAGAAAAACAGCAACGGGTCCAATATCTTTTTCGTTGAATGTTCAAAAAGCAGATGATAAAAAAATTCCAAAAATAGCAAGGTAAATACTACTCAGAAATAGGAAAATAACATATTTTAAGAGAAACACCCTCTTATTGAAGCACGGTAGTCCGTTGACAACAAGTGTATCATTTTCACTTTGGGGGTTGTAGTTCACATCCGTATGAAGTAGCCCAATGATTAAAAAAAATGATGAACTCAACCGACCCGAATATTTGCGGTACAATTAGAGAGTTCTTTGTTAACATGGAGCAGAAAGAGTTCAAAAATTGGGAAGCTTATAGAAAACGGTCGGAAATAGGATTATGATTATGAGAGATGAGGGCTATCTTCTTTTAACTACAAAATTTGCAGTTCTTTTTTTGGACCAGAAATGTTATAAAATCTTTAGTTGCTCCCGAATAATCTAACGTTGATCTGCTTGCAGCGCGGTTAAATTTGAAGCATATGATGACGAAAATGGTGGAACAGAAGCGATTGATGTCCCACCTGGTGTTCTTAATAACGTAAATTTTAAAATTTACTCATGATTTTTTCGTTCTTATATTTGGACTGAATGAAATTTTCTTGTAAACTTACTGCTAACATGTAGTTGGGTACAAGTCCTTAAAAGTTAATGCTTGTTTATAGATTCCTCCGCCAGGTTTAACAATACCGCCACCTCCAGTTGCTCCAGTTCCTCTTTCCTCCGGGCAGCTTGCGGTAGAAGGTTCTGTTGAACTTCAGTCAGAACGAAAGCTAAAGGTAATTTTGTAGTCATTGCTTTTCTTATCTATGTATACATTTTTAAGCTTCAAATGAACTTCGAAACAAAGTAGATCTGAGCAATAAATTCTGTTGGAGCTGGGAATGTATTCTGTTTCTTTAAGGCACGCCTTTTTATGGAGAAAATTCTGAACGAGAAACGGGCTGCAAAACTGAGAGCTCAAAATGAGGAACAATTGAAACGTGAAAGCGAACTTTTAAAAAAGTACGAGGAAGCACGTGCTAGTGTGAGTCCTTTCTAAAGGAATTTTTTTTTTAGTAGTGGAAGTTTTAACAAGTCCTTCAGGCATTTCTTGACATTATAATTTGAAATTCGTATGGAAAAGTGTTCCACTTTTAGTCAACTTCGTCGATCGCCACAAAGTCGAAAAATAAACGCGATATGAGTGATGTGGAAGTGGTCTTTTCAACTTCCGCGATTGATCAACTAATTAATTCACGAATCGACAAAGTAATCAGCGAAACGTTTAAAGAAAAGTGAATAACCTTATTTCAATTTAGAATTTTTCTGCATTTCTATTAGACTTTCTAACTACATTAATAATTTTTTCCACTGCTGTCATTTTCTACAGGAACCATGAAACTATACGCTTCAGGTTAGTTTCGCCAAGCTATCATTATATTTTATATTTTGAGGAACGCCAAATAAATTCACAGGTTCGAAGGGGATCTATCTAGACACAATACGTATATTTTAAATGACTTGTATTCAGTTTCCATCATTCTCTACATTTATTGGTATCCTGAAAAGTAAGATTGCAGGAAAGATTCTAAACATTCAAAAAGTGATCATCACAAAAAAGAAAAAAGGAAGAAGCAAGGGAAAGGAAAACACGATGATAATCGATTATTGGATGAGTGTGGCAGTAAATCAGGCAAACGCCATAGGAGGTTTGATACTATCAGTTAACATAGGAGGTTTGGACATTACAAATTGTATTTTCATCTTTATAGGTGCTATTTCTACAAATATACATGGTCGTCTTCCCAACGCTATTTGTAAATAAAGCTTGGGTTTTGAAAAGCACAATTTTCACGGGAGGGCAATTGGCGCCAACGACGTACGTAACTGTAGCTATCTTCAAAATTAAATTTTAGATCGCGTGAGAGTTCTAGTTCGTCTGAGCGAAAAGTCTCAAAAAGAAAAAAAAAGAAGAAACGAAAACATCGATCTCGTGGTAGCGCCGATGAAAGCAGATGAATGTTGTTGTATGTTACATTAGGTTTACTGATATATGCTTGTAATTTATGCTCAGGTTTCTTGATTTATCATGAGAAGTAATAAATAAAATGCTACAATTCCCTAATGTCCAAAATTTATGCTGTGAATTCATTCTTATTTTCATTTAAAATATGCGTATTAAAATCATGTTTGTTTGGGAAATATCTATCACCTTTTGAGGATGAATAGTTCGGAATAATAAATAATGAACATTAACTGGAATTCAAAGAATCCTTTCGAAGTCATGTGACTCACTTCACCTGTTCTTAAATGCTAGATGATTTGATATCCTATCATAACAGCTATAACACCAGCAGTATACGACTAGATTGTTGTATTTTTATAGAATATTGCTGTTGAAGAGATTTGGTGGACCCAGCTGTGTTCATGACTAAAAATCCCTATTTACAAACAAAACCGTCTAGATGTGAACGAAGAAGCCACTGATAAGTTGTAAATTATCGCACATCTTGCACTATTCTTGATTCATATAATTTTAAATTCCTTTATTCGTAATATCTGGCAACTTTTGAAAACATAGTAGTAAAAGAAGAAAATAAAATATAGCACAGATTTCATATGTGTTTGTGGTATTATTTCACAATTGCACAATTTGTACTTCGCAGAAGTCAGCAACTGATGTTTGCGAATTCTCTTTTGTAAGATCAATCTGTTTGAGATCAATTTTTAATTTCATAAATGTACCACTGCTTCCACGTACTAATGCATTGGTATTCACAAATACTGAACCGGCAACTACCTTCAAAACGAACTTTTGAGGCAGATTCCAACTGCTCATCAAGATGTAAATTTAACATGTCAGCATGGAATAGCTAATTTACATTAATATATGCAAAACTATTAAGAAAGTACCTTAACGGTAGGTGCAAGTACCGACGGCATAATAGTGACGTGAGGTATTGCAGAAAGTGATGTGCGTTCAATAGCTTGACGAAGTCGGTAGGTAATATCATGAGCTGCAGGATACAATGGATACAAAGAACGCTGCCTGCAAAGATCGTTCATTAGAACATGTATGCAGGAATCTGTTTTCAATGTAAAAGAAATTTGGAAGAAACTTTAAAAAAAGTAGTAAACGAATTCAAATGCATTATTCATACAATGAATTTTCGATTATAAGACTTGACTTATTTTGATAACACTCCCACTCATAACTGGCACCCATCAAGGGCAAGTGTCTACAGAAATAAAATCAGGCGAAGAAATTCTTAAATTGGAAGTGATGGTTAATATCGTAAACTATTCTCCTAAATTAGCGTTTGGCATCATTCTTCAATCTATAAAAAGATACCAGTATTTCATAAAAAAGGACTTTTGTTGTACCATAAAAAAATGCGATAATTTGGAGCTGGACTTTTACTCAAACCTAGAAACTTTGAAGATTAACGAAAGTCAACTGCAGAAAACATTTTCAGTTGATCTTATAAATACATCCAATTATTAATACCTGAACAAATCTCGAACAAGTCGAGACATTCGATCATGGTCTTCACAACTATCTGAATGACCTATTTCATCTCTTCCTAAATGCTGGATGATTTCCGACGCTGTTACAGCAAATTCAATACCAGCAATCCGAACGATGGCAGGATCCGGTAAAAGTAGTATATTCTGTAGACAATGATATTGCATTTGGGGAGGTAATGTAGAAGAAATCAGATTCAATAATTACAAATTACACCACTTCATGTTTGGATCCCTATGGTCCATTTTCTTCTTCAAAAACTCTCTCATGTGAACAGCTTGGCAAATTTTTTCCTCGAAATTACACCACTAAAGATTGGTCAATGTATATTAATGTGCAGTAATGAATGGTGAATGAAAGAATCTTGAATTGTATAAAAGAAATCAAAGAAACTGCTTGATGCATTAAAATCGTAACCTTGCTTAATTGCTGCTTTCGTTGTTTAAGTGAACGAAACGGTGGAGTAGGAAATGACGGTCGTATTGCGGCATCTTTTTTTCCATTTGGAACTATTAACACTTGAATATCAGTTCTAAAAAAAAAATATATTAATAAACGCAACTGGATGTAAGGAAAACTAGTGTTTCATTCTAAAATGCCTTTAACGTCTGATTAATATCCCAACAGAATAAATGTTTTACTTCAAATTATTATCCTCCATAATCTAAAAAATTACGCCTCATTCTTTTCGTATGTAAAGCAGTGTCTAATTCCGCTGTAAACCAAAAAATATGATACTTCCTAAATTTTGATTTACGAAAGAACAATCTTTTTCACTCCTTATAATTTGTAAGCAAGACAATCTTCTTTATATAGAATATTAGTTACACATCGTCTTGTGCTTCTGTAAATAACAAACCCTAATAAGACTTCATCAATTTTTGCAAGAAGCATATTCATAAGATCCTCGTATGTATAACAACACTGAGGTGACTTTACCACTGGACTTGTTCGGTCAATGAATGGACCAATCTGAAGTTCTACAATTACTATAACTATCAAAAGCGCATAGAATTATTAAATAATGGAAAAGTGATTAACCAAAATTAGAATATTAGGTCGCTCCTTCTTCACTAATTCCATTAGATCGCAGAGCTGTTCATAAGAGAGAGTTTTAGAAGAAGTAAATGGTCCACAGGCACACCAAACATGAAGCAGATCTGAAAAAACCATATTCACATCCCTAATTTATATTCTTTCTGCGATACATGTCTTGTAAATTCTACTTGTTGAAGTTAAAAGTATATCGAAACAATTTTTTGTTTTTTAAAAGTATATCGAAACTTTAATCATCAAGTCGAAAAGTACTGACTTCGTGTAAATCGATTTCGCAAAACTAATTCAATGACAGATCAATGAAATTAGCATAACAGTAGTAATTAGTTGCTAACTGTTTCCACAGAATTGTCTTGACAATAAATAATAGCAAGATCTTACCAATGTTTGATTGCTTATTAAGAGATGCAATCGATGGTTCTTTGGGTTCGAAAATTTCATCCGGGAAAAAATTATCACCAACAAAAGCTCCATGAAGTGAAACAATCCGTAATAGAAGAAAATAACTAACAATTAAATGAACAAGAAAAGTATAGAGTTGATAATGAAATAAAATAAATTTATCCCACAACTAATCTAATTCAGAATTATCATAAACGACAATACATGTTTGGTTATGTATCCCATTTACTGCTAAACTTCTTTTTCACTGATAATCCACTAAATATAGGATGGATAAAATATGAAAAACGAAAAAAAAAAAAAAAGCGAATTACCTTCCCAGAGAACAATGAATAAGCTTTAAGATTGCTCAGATCAAGGTTTATAACAGCAGCATTTTGATCAATGCATTGCAATGAACAATTTGAGGCATCTAATGGATCTTCTGTAGTATTCACGATGAATCCCGAATATATGTTTCGTATCTGCAAATAAATTTCTTCAGTGTTTTTTTACGAAAATTTTTGTATTTGTAAAAAATGACACTGGCTACACTTAAAATCAAAATATTTTATTGAATAAAATTTACCATGTAAAAGAAAAAGTATATATCTCGAATATATATGTTGGCCTGAATTTAACACAACAGTGTAGAAGAAAATTTAGAAATGATACAGCATAAATAAAATTCTACATTTATTCTAAAACAGTTCAATTCCGAGAAGAAAAGGACATACTAATGATAATGAATCTATTTGTTCATCGTCAATTAATGTTGCGTTTTCTTCTTTGATTATATCGCACAAACTCTGTACTCGTGTAACAAGTGCTTAAATTAGGTCAGTGTACTAGTAAAGATCCACAAAACATTATGGATTCTTTTCTTTCAGAACAAAATATATGAAAAGGTTCACTTAACTTACTCCACTTAGCTTAACCACAACGCTTGAAATGCAGTTACATGCTAATATTCCTATAAACTAAATCAGTTCACCAAATCATTAGATAATGCCGCACTAAGAAATTATCAAAAAATTTCCTCTATTCACCTTCAACTTGCTCCAAATCTTTCTCTGCACCATATTGTAACAAATTTTTGTAATCATCAGTGTAGAGCTTTTCCACAACAACTTTACATTCATTGCTATCTTTAGTTCTATTATTTATTTTTGCAGTGAAATTTTTGCCTACGAATTCTACGACAACTTTGCCCGAATTTTTCCGATTCTGGTATGCAGCATCAGATACGGATTTCCTGAAACGAATTTTTCCGATTCTGATATACAGCTAGTCGAAATAAACAATTTGTTGATCTTAATACTAAATATTATTTACAATAATCCAGTCAACAAAGTTTTAAACACAAAATTAAGAAAATAATGCTCCAACCTGATTGGTGTAAAAGCCAAATATTTTTTAGGCAAAGTGAAAACATCGTTCGAAAAGTTTACAATCGTACTACAACTGTCAGCTATACTACTCTCATCAAGCCATGAATTTTTATTATGTTGGTTAAATGCAATTCTGAAATTAGATATAAAGAAAACCAACCACACAGTACTAACTCTTTACCTTAAACAGATATTTGATTAATCAGGATGAATTTCTAGGATATATAAAGAAGTACAATGCAGCATAATGTTTATCTAATTTTTTCTGATACGACAACATACCAAAAAATGAAGCTATCATAAAAATGATGAATAAAAATTACTTCATGTTAGAGATATTGAACGACTCATTCTTGAAATTTTGAACAGCTCTTTGAAGAATCTATAAATAAGATCAAAGTTAAATTATAAAAACTTTAAATCTGTCGGGAATAAAGATAAAGAGGACAACATCGAAAATTTTGCACCAAAACTTTTGTCTTTATTAACACCCTTCATCTACTCTTTTTAAATTCATATTATATGCATCAGAAATTTATTAAAAATTTGCTGTTATATGTTGTATTAATTAAATTTTATAACAATTACCAGCTGTTCAAAATTATCCAATATCGAAAGATTCACATGTGTCTCCTTTTGATTGGTAGCAAATGCGATTAATTCACTTATAAAATCTTCACCATTTTTGCAATACTGTTTGGAGAGATCATTTGCTTCAAATAGAAACACTAATCCCAACAAATTAATTCAAAATTTAATCCCTACTGTTTTACCTTTAGCTGTAATGCCATTTATATACAAGCACATTTCTTTTAAATTCAGAATCTTATGACGCCGCACATGCTTTCGACGTATGATAAATATTAAAGATGGAATATCACATCGATATATCACAAATGTACCATGCGTAAAATGACAGAAAATGGACCTTTGGCGACAAATACCCCATCAGGATCATCTTCAAATGTGTACATAAAGTCTGCCAGTTGTTCACTCAGCCAATTCGCCGTCATACACCCATATGATTCAGCTATATCATCCATGACGTTGTAAAATTATATGAAATCCTTCCAAACCTGGAATCTACTTCTAAAAATCACTCCTAAACCTAAGCTTAAGTTCTTCCGTGACCCCAAACTCGCAAAAAGTTAACCCTTATCCAAACCCACCATTATATACCTACTTCTTCCCAACCCTTTTTCTCCACTCCCTGTCCCACCTGTCACCATAACCATGATCTTCACCGTTTTTTAACTTAAAATTATCCGAGAATCTAAAAGTTTGCGAAATCGCTTAAAATAGTATAACTCCGTAAAAACATCCTAAAATTTATTTTTATATAATACATAACAAACTGTTTACATAATACGCAAAAACAAAAATTTGTAAAATTGGATTGTTTCAAAAGCAATTATACATGAACAGCTAAACCACAGTGCAACGTGTTTACGAGCAATAGCGGCGACAAAACGAAGGACTTTATACAAAACTCTATACTTCGAAACAAAAAAAAAAAGCTTCAAATTAATTTACAAAAACATACAGACATACAGTAGACAACATGAAAAGCAAATATCCTATTTAACATATACCAAATGTACCTAACTGTGAGGTAAGTGAGATATAATATTAGTCATATATATATGTATATATAGACCAACATGTGATTCGTTAATTGCTGGCGAGAAAACGAAAACACAACACAAAATCCCATTTTGGTTATGTACAAAAATATAGCAGTATAAATCATGAATAGATTTTCCAATTCAAAAACTACCTGAACGCAAAAAGTGCTGCAAGTTCATGTCCAAGGATGTCTCCGATTTATGCGACTATGATGACAGCAAGAAATCAAATTTTGAAAAGAAATTTCATCCTACAGAAAATAGTATCTCCAAAAACGGTATTTACAAAGATAAAAATGATATTTACAAAGACAAAGAAGGATGAAATATGATACTACGAGAAACCAGTGCACCGAGCTAAAGCACATACATGAAATGTCATAAGTTCATGTCCAAGGATTCATCAAACTTGTTATTGAGCGTAAATATAAAGCACATTTCAAGTGTATAAATGAATCCCTGAAGAATGGTAAGAATTCACTCATAATAAAATGGAGCTTGGCGAAAAACTACACAGTTAATTAGATTTCCGCTTTGCCAAGTGATAATACAACAAATTCAACTTTGGCAAACAAAAAAAAGAAAAGCAAACATATGTAGAGACACAAAAACAAAAAAAAGCTAGCAGCTTTTAAACCTGAAACAAAAAGTAGTTATTTACAATGAGTACAAAAAAGTCATGGAAAATGCGAGTAAATTGATGTACAATGTCAGAAGTAAAAACAGTAAAATCTTAGGAACTATTTACAGAAATTAAAAGGACAATGAAATATTAGCGAATCGCGCAATGTTTCTATTTACGACAAGAATGTATCTCTCAACATTTTTTTGACCGCAGATGCACCAATTGTCATCAAGGTGCTTTCCGTATTTTGACCTATAACTAACAGTCATTATAATACTTCACACTGCACTACCAATGAACATTAGCAAGAAAGTATTGGTCGGTTTCAATATCTAAAATAAAAGATCCGCACAAGATGATACAAAAATTTACGACCACGAATCTTTAATGATTGAGCACTGAAAAATGATTACATACCCGAATCGAGTGGATGTTTGACTACTCTAAAAAGATACGGCTGACATTCAAGAAAACTTGTATCAAAAATACTCGTCACTTCTGAACGTGCAGGCATTTGTGGCATGTATTGAGGTCGACTAATCAGTGAGCATGCTTTCAGCACAATCTCTGATACCGAATCCGCTACCTCTTCTCGCATTCGTTCCCAATACTCTAAAAAATCGTTTTAAGTGCGAAGTTATACAGGGATTTATTAAGACTGGAAGAAGTGCCTCTACCACTTCATATCATTTACAAAAAGAACAGGAATGCTCTGAAATTTATAATATAAAAAGATCAGAAAAGTGTAAACTCTGTTAGTAAAGATCACATCATGAAATTCAATGTTTGATTCTCACTTGCTTTTATAGCATCTAAAAACACTTAACTAGAGATTTTAATAGTAATGATGACAAGACGTAAACCTAAGATTAATCGAATTACAATGAAAAGGTATTATGGAGTCACCTCGTTCTTTGATTCTAACTACACCGAGTTGCATCTGCCATATTTCCCATGGGATTTCGTAATCTGATAACGGCCATGACCGTTTCTTTTTTTGATAGAATTCTAAATCAATCCTGAAATAGGTGTCATGTTAAAAGCATAAATAAAACTTCATAAAATAAGTTTTCAAGAACAATCTGGAAGCATACATTTTATTAAGTCTTGAAGCTACCAGTGTCGTTCATAAGTACTTTTATCTATATTCAAAATCCTAAAGTGGATTTCTCGGCATTGTTCAATGTCGCAAAAAAAAAAAAAAATCGTAGTTTAATTTTCAGAAAAAACTATAGCCAACTTAGCATTCAGAAGTGGAGTCCCATAATGAGTGGGCAGTGATACTGGTGGTGGAGAATAGAAACGAGGCGCAGCAACACTTTCAATGGAATGCCAAATACACTGCACGAAAGAATCAATTTCCTCATGCAAGCATGAAACCAGTTTTGGACTATTTACACGTACCTAAAAGTTTCAACCATCAACTTTAAGGAAGCCTTAATTATATAGAAAAATATATGAAAATGAGGGATCAAATAATTATTTATATGATGCAGTATTTTACTTTCGCAATAGCATTCCCATCATAAACAGTTTACACATGAAGCTGTTATTAAATAAATTAAAAAAAATTCCATCTGTTCATGTCTATCTAAAAATGAAATCAAACTTACATAGCTTAAATTCAAAGTGCTACAATCCACTTCCTCAACACCAATAGACCCGAGTTGAAAGTTTATTTCACTAGTATAATGCATCTGTAAAAAAAGTGACTGCTGAGCTTTTATCTTTCAACGTCTATCACCTTTGGAAATCAGAGAAATTATTCACAAAAGTTGTTTATTGAAAATGAACATCACTGTTTTCATTTCTGCAAAGAAAAAGCTAATGGGTCTTGGATATATCATCTTCGATTAAACCGCATTTGTGAAAAAAGAGAATACACAACTACTTTTCAAAGAAACAGAAATTACTTTAGGCACGCTCCTGTGCAAAAGAATAGTGTGGAAGACTGTTGAGACTGCATCTCGTACCTGATGTTCATCAACAGTCTAAAAAGGTATTAAACAAGCAAGTTAGATAAACAATTCCTAGGTAAATAAATAAACAATTACTAGGTAAATAAATATATTATATTTTCCTTCTTCTTCTCTAAATATTTACATAATATATTTAGCAAAATATGAAAAAAAAGGAGTCTTCTCAGAAAGCATAATGTGTTGTAAAAGTACACAGAGAAAAAACGACTTACTAACTGGAACTGATGATTGCGTGCATTCATACGAGAATCTGAAAAATGACAAAAATGAAATGAATAAAAGTTTTATTGGTGATGTTAAACATTAGCTAATAAGAGTAAATGAAGTTAAATTTCAAACATAAAATTTTGTATCTGTATATCTGTTTCATATGCCATAATAACCCACAGAAATTCAACATTTTCTTTATATTCAAAGTTTCTTCCGTAATATATTCCATATAAGACAATACATTACTAAGACAAGGAACTAAACCTCAAACAGCTATGAAAGCGAAAAAAAAGTAGGATGAATAGAAGCCAACGAGGAAAAGTCACACTCGCACGTAATGCTTAACATGAAATGAAAGTATGCTACACTGATTGTCGCTTTACGACATAACTTTGCTTCATCCACGGGAAATATATTAGAGAGAAAAAACTAATATGGGAATTAACGTGGTAAAGTTATTTTGAATGCGACGTGATTTGATGTGATGCATCACGTAGCAGTATTCTTTTTTTTTGCATATTCATAAAATTTAGTATAAAATGGGTAGGAAAGGTTGTTAATATGATCAGTTAACTGTTCCATTGCAATTGTCAGGGTGATTTATAGTAGAGCATTAAAAGTATCCTAAACATAAAACATTCGCTATTGATTATTGAAAAAAAAAAGAAAAAGGATGAAAGAAAGAGCTATGCTGAAGAAGAAAGTAGGCAACGGTGATTTACTGCAGAGCTCCGCGAAGTATTTCGATGATTATCATTGCAAAACAACCGAATGGGTTAGATACATCATATATTCATCTTGCAACTTTCATTTAAGCATAACTGTGTTAATTAATCGGATCGATTAAATAAGTTTATTCCACCTACATACATCACACATTTAATTTCTAAATAAATTGATTAAATGAAATTTAGGAACTGTATGAAACAAACATTATGACCCGTATTTTGAGTAATTAAGAAGACACTCAACTACTCTACAAATAGTTCAGTTGTGGCACTTTCATTGAGGACAACAACTCTTTTATGACCGTTTTACTATTTGATTATTAACACTATTTAAACTATTTCAATTTAACAAAGAACTAATTCTTTATTTATCCTTAATGCAATTCGAAACTAATTTCAATGAAGAGAAAATGATAAGTTTTAGAATGTTAAACAAATGAAGACAAAGACAAATATGGAAGAAGTGAAACAAGTTATTACTGCTTTAAAGGTTTCATTCTGAATATTCAAAATATTTACTAAAAGGAAAGAAAAAGGAAAAAAAAGCAATAAATGGACAAAAATTTAAGCTTTCAATTTTTTGAGAAAAATAAAAGGAAAAAAAAAACCTTTAGAAAATTAGATGTTTTCAAATTTTTTTCAAACATTTATTCCAGTTTTTAAAAATCGTATTTTTCAAGTGTGAAACAATTTTTCATTTTTATTTCTTTTTTTTTAAAGAACAAATTGATGGAAAGGCATTTAATGTCGAAGAAGATTGCAGAATTGGAAAAAATTCTGCAAAAAATCAATAATGCCACAAATGAAGTTATAATTGAGGTGTTATTTTCTGTCACATTTTTTCTTTTGACGATTGATAAATTAAAAAACATTTCATTAAATGAAGGAATACATCATATATGAATGATTGAAAGATTAAAATGGTTAAAAATGAATTAATCCAAATCTAATAATCAATATTATCAACTTATGTTATGCATAATTTGCAGATGAATAATCGAGTGGATGATTTAAATCGAGATTGGCAAGAACGATTACGAAATGAAAATGTAAAATGGGAAAATGATATTCATACATCAAGCAAATATTGCGATAAGTGCGTTTGGCTTTTTTTTAAAGCCATTTTATTATTAATTTGATATAAGATACAATCATTTGGATGCATACATAAGATATTTCTTGAATAGATATTTTATAATTTTTAAATTATAAATTTTGCTTCTGTCAAAATTTTAAATTGAAATTTTCAATAGAATATGGTAACACTTTAGACTGGTTAGCCAGCACAAATAATAGCATAAGAAATGTCTGAAACGTTAAATTTAACAAAAAAAAAAAAAGACTTTGCGCAATTTCAGTAGACCAATAGAAACTCGAAATTTACAAGATATTAACAAAGTGATATGGCGAACGGAACGACGTCTTATTGAGTTAACCGATCGTCTAGCACCAATTCAAAAAATGGAGCAAAAATTGGAAAAAATTATTGAAGTATTGAAAAATGCTCCATGTTATCATCAGTCAACGTCCATTACTACGGATAACTTGGTTGGTTGGCTTATATTGTAATTTCATAATTAGATAAGATTAAGAGCTGAGCTAATGCACTACGTTTCATCGATATTTCTATTCGTTGATAATAAAGTGTAAAATATTAAAAAGTTTTAGCATATCTCAGAGAGTGAAAGTGTTAATACAGCAAGGACAGCACAAAATATGCAAGAGGAAAGTGTTACAAAAGCTCCCAACTTCTATGGAGTTGTTGAAATCGCTGCAAATTATTCTATGGTTATTGGCTATTTCATTTTAAAATGAAAATTTTTGTTCAGAACTGGGAGGTATTACATGAGAATCAAAGGTAATCAGAAATTCATGGGCATATGTAGAAAATATAAATTGAACATTTTGAAAAATTTGGTCATGTAATGTATACTTCTATATCTGAACCATTATAATTCATAATCAAAATGGTATAATCAATTAAGTGTCTTCGAAATCTGGAACGAGCCATCAAATCCTTGGAATCAATGAAGCAAATGTCAGCATTATTTGGTGTTTCTGTTGATGGAATATCAAGCGTTTCAGATGTTAACCATACTGCAAACGTACTTAAACAATTTGTTAACAAATTGAAAATTTCGGTAATTCTACAAAATTTTAACCTCATTTTGTTCAAATATTTGAATTAATTTGGACTTATGCACTAAAATTTTCAATTTCAGTAATTAAATTCTGTTCGCAAAATTTGTCAAACTTAAGAGAGAAAGATGTAATTGAATATTAATTTTAAAAACATTATATATTTTGCTCGTATGCATTAGATAGAAATGATGCAAAGAACGGTGCAGGAAATATCAAATACATAGTTTCGCAGGAATTTATTGGAATTATCAAAAAAAAAAAAAATGAATGCCAAATTGATAAGAAATGAATAGATGTAATTTAGTGGAAAGTACAATATAGTCTTAAAATTTGTATGAAATAGCAAACCTATGGATAGTAACTACTACGATAGGACGAAAAGTTCATCTCAGTGAATGTTTAACCCTTTCATGTTAATAGTAAGTGACACTCTGGATTGTTACAAAGGTATTTAATATTTAATGTCCTGAAAAATATATTTCACGTATATATAGATATCATAATGATATAATTCTTACAGCTGCAGAAACGTAATTTGCGAAGTGATAATGTTTTGTTTTGATTGATATGTGACAAATGAAACTCTCCCTCTCTCTCATATATGTTTATATTTTCACTTGATCATTATCATTTATCTATTGTAACATCAAATTTGTTAAAAAAAATAAAAAAATAAAACAATAAAGTTTTAAAAAAGTTGTCAAACTTATCGAATGTTGTAGTATAAATTAAAATTTTTCAATCAAAAAACTTTTTAACGTTCAAATTTATCATATGGATGAACAAAAAATTTTAATGGAGAAAATGAGTGTTTATAATTAAGATCGCTAAAAGTATTAATGATTGAAAATTTTTACTTTAAGGTTCTTAGTAAAAAATTAACTTAATATGTTTCCAACAAATTAGCTTCTTATCAATTCTAATAAATGCAAAAAGAAATAATATGTTGACTGGAAGATGAAAAAAGGAGTATGAATTTTTTTATAGTTTGCCAAGTGAATTATTTCAAAAACAAAATAGTTTCGTGTGAAAAAATCGCACATGTATATATAATTGAAATCGTTAATTCTTAGATTAAAAAGGAAAAAAGTCATTCAATATATTTTTTTCTAAAAAGTAAAAAAAAATTAAGAAATAACACAATATTGCAATAGCAATGATTAAAAAATATTATGGATGAAATGTCATTTTTTTCTTCTCGAAAATGATGATGTAACTGCCACAATTATTTCCTTTTTTCTTTTTTTTTTGAAATTTCTATTCTTTCTTTTTTTGGTTTTTTATAACTGTTGAAAGATAAATATATGTCGTAAGATGCGATTTATGACCTACAAAAGTATGTGCTATAATCCAAGATAATAGTTCTCCATTTTAGTTCCTTTAAACTTCTTCTTTCATATCTTTTATCCACCAATTTTATTCCATCTATGAACAAATTTTTTTCTTATATTGGAAATAATTTTTAATTTCACATTGATATATGTATGTATTAATGATGGTAGCAATAACAACAATAACAATAAATAATAATAATAATAAAAGTGAACGAATTCATTTAATAACTTTGTAATCTATAATTTTTGTATAACTAAATCTCACAAATCTTTTTGATTTTTTTATGCTAGTATTCATTTTAAAACTGATTAAAAAATTAGACACATTGCAAAAAAAAGAAAGTAAAAATCACAAAATATTTTTAGACAGAATCAGTTTACATCTTTTGTTTATTTTTGGCAAAACCTGAATAGTTGTTAAACCAAGAATTATTTAATTTAAAGTCTCAAAATACTGAATATAAGCTTGAATTTCAATCCATTCAGCTAATAAGTTTAACCTTTTAATGACCATTTTTGCAACTTATGCAATAGTTTTTAAAAAAGAGTAAAAAACTTTTTAAATGTGTATACTTTGTAGCATTTGAAGAAAGTTAACGAAGCGTACGTAAGGAACTTTCTTATAGACAAGTTTAGGTAGCTTGTCCTTTTAAATAAACTTGAAGAATATGGCATTTTAGATAAGCTTAGAAAACATAGTGATTAAGTAGGCATGTTTTAAATTTTGTATGACTTAACTTTTTAAAAGAATGAAAGAAAATAATTATAATAATGTTTCGTTAATCTGCAACTGTTTAAAAGTACATAATTTTATTGAATTTCAGGATGAGCCACGATGATGGTTATTACATTTCCAAGAGATCACTCCTTCTAATCATATTCGTTCTAAATTTATCATCTTTTAATGCCACAGACAGTGATAATATGAGATGTAAATGCATATCAGAATCAAAATCAAAATGTAAATTGACATGTTTGGATGGAACAAATAAAACTGACACGAATCACAACATAGAAAGACGAGAAATAGATTATGAGGAAGTTGAAATTATCGATGAACGAAAATGCAATAGCAAAAGTTTGCAAAATATAATGTTACAGGTGAGTAATTCTCTTATCATATCATTTTTATAGAAAGGAAGAAAATGATTTAAACTCTCTAATAGTTGATAATTTCAAAATTGTCGCATTCTTTTACATTTATATAATATTTGCATTTTGGAATTAGAAAGGGAAAAGATTTGGAAATATCCTTGTGTTATAACAAGAAATCGATTAACGATTAACAATTAATAATTAACAGTTAACAGTTAACGATTAACAAACAGTTCTTACTATAAAATATCTTTATTGCTTTACTACTAATGCACCTTTATTGTCTTAAATATCCTAACACTCTTTTGTCTGTTCTAAAAAGAATTTAATTTATTTCTCATTAATTACTAATCCTTTTTTATTATAGTTTTTCACTAAAAATAATTCATTCAATGTTTTTTTTTAAATCAAATTTGTTTGCTTACTTCTAAGTTAGACTTAATTTAAAATAAAGGAAAATGAATTTTTTGATTGCACCAATACGTTATGTTATGAAAATGATTAAAGAATTGGTAAGAAAAGAGTAATAATTATAAAACAATAATTTTGCTGTAAACAGTATTATTTGTATTCTAAATGAGTGACATTTAATAGAAATTAATTAATTCCATAAGAACAATGCATTATTTAAATTAGTTAATATGTAACGAAAATTTCGGCATACTAATTAATAATTGAGATAAACTAAATTTTGATATGATTTTAACAATTCTACAAATTACTCAGAATATGGCTGGACAAACAGCAAAACAAGCAAAAACAAAAATAATGCGAGCAGCCGAAGCACTTCTTGGCGGTTATTTCAACGTTATTTGCGCTTCTGGTGATTTCTCTTACATTACAACAACTAGCCTTTATTGTTTACAATCTTTGGGTAATATCAATTGTTATGCATTTCTTACAGGAAATACTCGCCCAAGACTGAAGTAAAAAGATTACAAAAAAACTAAAATTTATTAATTATTGTGGAAGAGATGTCAACATCAGCTTCATTTTTCATTCCTTTCTATTATATTTTTTAATTTATATTCTCACTAATTTTGTTTAATAATCATTAATCAGCAAAGAATAATTCGAAATGGAAAAAACAGTTATGTAACGAGTATGAATGAGAAGGACTTTATTGCTTGAATATTGTTGGTAATAACTGAACAAAGAGATTACACTTGTTTCAAACTTATTATCAGTCAACCGGGATGATGCACAGGAAACTCTTCTCTGATAAGTTATTTCTTATCATCATTATGTCCATTTTAATTCACTGAAAGTTTTGTGATTGACATGTTGATGATAACAAATATTGATCAGGGAAGACTGCCAACAGCTGCAATTATTTCAGCCTTATGCAAATTGATTCTATCTACCGTATCAAAAGGGAAATGTATTATGAAGATAGGAATGTATAGATAATCCTATTTTGTTAATCATATCCAATTTATAGTACTGGTGAAATGCAATAAAGTTTCATCCGATGTAGGCCAAAAGATTTTATGCAAAAGAATGGATTACCAGGGAAAATGTTACAGACATCATTTGAATCACTTGAATATAAATAATGGAAAAAGATTTACCATTAAGTATTTTTAAAAGAATAATCCGGAATACGGGGCAATGGAAGTTCTAAGGTAGAGGAGATATGTGGCAAAATGATAAGTTCAATGCCAATATTACTATTAATTTTTTTAAGAAAGAAAAGATTATTGAGTGTCACGAAATGTAGAGATGGAAGCAGAGAAAGAGAAACAGGGAGAGCAAGAAATATTTTAATATAAACTGTCATCACAAGAATCAAAAGGATGCGTACTAAGGATACCAGTAGTAAACATACCTTATAAGTTAAAAAGCAATATTTTATAAATGTCTTACTTCGAAATATCAATAAAAGCGTCATTTCATCCAATAATTTACAATTACATTTTTTTTTTTTTTTTTTTTTTGACGAAAAGATAGTTTATGCTATGAATTTTAATGCTTTTCGTCAATATAATTTAGTAACATAAATTACAACTGTATTCTATTTCAGATACATGAGAAAGACATTAAAGCAAAAAGATTATAGAAATAAGCAGAGAAGGATGATATCTGCATCGACTATGCGCAGCTGTTCCGATATTAGAAAGCACTTTTGACTGCACTATATACAATTCTGAAAACATAATGCTTAAAATAATTCCAAATATAACAACAGCTTCTTATGCTTGAAATTGCATCGGTTGACTCATATACTCGTTCTGATTCTAATTTCAATTTAAGAAATTAAAAGAGAAACAATTACAATTGTTCACCTCTTTTTGCTAACTGAAGGTAATGAAGGCTTCATTTCCTCTTTATCCGCTGAACCAAGTAATTTTTTCATCTGAAAAAGTATGAAATATCAAGTACATCAAGTTTAAGTAAACAAATTTCAACCATATTATAGATATCTCAGATAAAACGGAAGATCTAATATGAATTAAACATTATGCAAAGTACACACTTGCTTATCTTGATCTTTGACGCGTGCATTAGTACGTTCAGCTTTAACTTGAATTCTATCTAACATTTCATTCTGCGAATCAACTTCCTCGCCAATAGCTTTGCCAAGCATACGTAATCGAGCCAATTGAGAACTCATTGAATCTAAACCCATCTTATATTTTAAAACATTATTAAAATTATATGGGACTGTTAGAACAAGAATGAATAAATGTTTTACTACCAAGATTAGAATCAATTTCATTATCCATCGCCTCCCAGCGTGTTCCTTTGATTACAGCCCGTGAACTCTCGCTTAATGTTGGACCCGATATACATACGGCACCTCCAGCACAACTTGAACCTGCTTTAGAAACATTACTTAATTTATCCACAGTATTTCCAAGCACTGAATCCGATTTCGACGGAGCCATCTGCAACCATATTATACATATATATAAACTTGTGTACACACATATATGATATATAAAATTAATATGCATTACTAATTACCATGAATCATCAATCAATTGATAAACTATGTATTAGATAAAAACCGAATTCAAAAACAACGACAATAGTAATAATAACAATAATTAATGACAATAATTCATAACAAAATAATCCACAGTAATAATAATAATAAATAATAACGATTAATAATAGTAATAATAATAAAATAATAAAAACAAAAAAATTTTAATGTAAAAAGGAAAAAGAAATCATCGTTTTAAATATTTTTATTCATTGCTGGCCTTTCGCCCAATTACAAGTTTCGAAAAGTAATGAAACCTTACAGATGACTCCTCTTTTGGCGCACGAGAAAATTTATTTCTGAAGAAACCGCCGAAGACAGATTTCAAACTGTTAAGGTTACGCTGAGTCATTTTCGTTGTTCTATCAATATCATCGAGATTCTTTTCCGTATGTTCTAGCTTCTCCCTTTGCGTTAACAAGTCCTAAAGCAAAATCATTTATACAACATATAAAAAAGGGGGTCCAGTCGCATATTTTTCCAAAATAAAAAATGGCAATCAAATCAATACTTGTGCAGTTGCTATGCCAATTTGTTCACTTTGTTCTAAATTCTTCCTTGATCGCTCTGTGCTATCTAACGATTCCTGCATGTAGCGTTCCAGCTCTTGTTCATAAAAATTAACATCATCTTCTATACTGTTACCACTATTGTTAGAATTTACCGTTGTATAACTTTTCACCGGTCCTACAATCATATAAATTTTAATTCAAATTATGAAATATGTTTAGTTTTTTTTTTCTTTTTTCTTTTTTTTTTTTTTTTTTTTACAAAAATCCATTAGAGACATTTTAACAATTTCACCAACTGAACGTAAGATTTGAAAACACTGCACTTTTAAAAAGATTCTTTCTACATATAAGTCTTTGTAAATAATTACAATATTTGTAGCATATGCCACCGGAACTACGCATTAATTGGATATAAACAATTGTGTTTTGCAGACGAGGAAAAATCAATAAAAAATGAATAAAATTTGTTAGCACTCAAAAAATAAACGATGTGATTGTATCACAGTTTACTAAGGATGAACAGATACTATTCTTCAGGAATATTTCAAAAATTCCCATCCCCAAATTATTAAAAAATTTATCAAAAAAAAATTTGACGAATATGAATACGCACTGAAACTAATCTCCATTTACCTTTATAAATATTGGGATTTACATAATTATCGTCAAATGGATTTGATGACATCGAATTAAACAACCAATGACGTTGAACAATAATCTGGAAAGATTAATTTTTAACACTGTGACTTTTTACAACTTTTCTCGACGTTTCATTTCCATTTAAAGATTTAAAAAATGTAAAATTATCTAACTGCTCATACACAACCAAGCTACTGGATGATACAGCCAAAATCTACACTTCAATGTTTATTTGTGATACATCGTTCGTTACGTATAGCATCTGCATTTATTCACCAACAATCATTCAACATCATTCATTCAAGTAACAAAGAAAAATGGCAGCACCAAACAGCTTTTACGTTCCAACTAAAGTTTCGCCATTCTATTAATTATTGATACCCGTCTACACAATGACATTCAACAATATATATATATATATATATATATATATATATATATATATATATGAACATAGCGATTACTTGTCTTCCTCAGCATATTCCTTCTTCTACCACCAAAAAAGTGGCAATTGAAAAGATTTACAGCAAAAGGTATCACAGCTCTCGCAATATACTTGCTACAAACCATTTCAAGTTTTCGACTGTAGTCCTTGACCGAAGTCTACCAAAGAATTTTTATATCAATGAATGGTATCCTGAGAAACTAAGCAATACTTTGTTTATATTATTTGTGCCAAATCATGCTTACAAAACATCCTGACTTAGAGCCAACAACAATTTGCGAAAAGATGAATGCGTGTTTGCCATAAATTTATTCATTTACATTTCATTACACTATCCATTACTACCCCATCACCAGTTATTTAGTGATTATTCTCCATTTCCATTACGGTTCAAAATTCAACTCAATTTACCACATTTAAGATATGAAAATTAAATTTGAAATATAGCTCGTAAAATTTCTTCGCAACAATCAAAGACGACCTTTTATTCTAATTTTATTTGGGAAAAATATTTCTCGCACATACACAGGCGTCGGAAATTTTGGAAACTCAGTCAAAAAACATAGATAAACACAAACAATGACGAATTAACATGTTTATTTTTTCTCATTCTGTTCTAAATCCTCTTCGGCTGATAAGTCTACATCTTCAAATTGTTCGTTTTCACTAACAGCAGATGCAGCAGAACTGCTTTCTACTGATATGCGAGATGCCATTATAGTTCCACTAGAACCTTGCGTTCCATCCGCTGCAACTCTCGGGAAAGTCGCTAAGCGACCGAAAACGAACAAATGCGAACCTAAATTATGCGAAGTAAAATAAAATTTTTATATTTCCGCGGCAATAATAATTTCAATCCACCGTTAAACTTTACCTTCATCGACATTTGCCCTGCAATATGCAAGCGAAGTTCGTGTTCCTAAACGCACTCGGAAATCATAATGACCTATAAAATATTTGAATGTATTGAAACACAAACCTTGATAATAGTACACATATCCTAAAAAATCAGTTTATTATTCCTGATGACATCATCACTTATGCAAAACAAAACTATCAGTCAACATGGCAATAACTTTATTATATCTACATCTTATTCCTACAAAAATACGAAAGTAACCAGCAACAATGGAATCATCGGTAACGATCAGAACAAGTACTCCAACCAATTTGAACAAATTTTTTCCTAAATCTTGATTATTTCGCAATAAAACCGATAAAATATTATATAATAAATAATACCTCCAAATGAATTTGACGTGATTCGAACAACGCCAAATTTTCCCCCATTTCTAGTTGTCCCATAAAATGGTTTACTTGTTACTGTCCCACTAAGGCAAACTCGATTAACGCTACAATATATTTATATTTTTACAGACAAAGAATAAAGCACAGTCCAAAATGAATAGGGAAATAACTACAGAATCAATTACATACTGATCTACCAACTCAATAATTGTGCGGTTAATCAATTCATAAGTAAAACTAAGTCGTCATAAAAACAGATGACTAGTTAAATAGTTAATCAATCAAGTATCAGCTGATTAAGTAACCAAAAGATTTTTAATTTGACTGAAACCCTTAAAAATTTAAGAAACAAATAATGTTAACGAATTAAATAAAAATATCTGCAAGATCACAGTGCAAAGTAATGCTCGAATTGTACAGGATACCTTACTTCCTGCGACTGACCGCCTGGGTCAATAGCTCATTAGGTCTCTCTGACGATGAATAAGTGCTTGTATCTGTGGGCTGTTGTAGATTGGCTTCTGCTGCAAACAATCGTCTGGAAAGCTTAAAAAAAATATCTTTCAGTTGCCTTTAAAAAATAAATCACGTATAAACACTATGAATCTATTTATTGATTTTAATTTAACTATCAAATCGATAAATAACATCTTAAAACAAGCTTGCCATACAAAAACATTCATATCTAGTAATTAAGTATTCAAAGAAAGATTCCTTTCAAAAACCATTTATGGAAATATAAAATTTATGGAAATGTAAAAGTTTATGTAATCGAAGAAACCAAAACCTGCTGAACTAAGGACACTCCTGGAGTATATCTTGACAATACTTCACGGAGCATTTCTTCAGAAAATCTCCCTATAATTATATATTACGTGTGCATGTATTTTTGAGAATATTCTATGGCCGAGATCGGGAATTGCACTCACATCTCCTTCCTTCTTCTGATTATAAGAAAACCCCTCAACGAATAGGACAGCAACTATATGGCCTAAAGAGCCTAGAGCCTGAAGAAACCACGACCTCCCACCAGGCCAGCCCAAACACGCCCTCAAGCCCAGCATTTTAGGAGAGTTCAGAAAAATAATGGTCTGTACCACCATGTACAAGGAACTCGTCTCGCTGTATCACTACGGGTATATTCGGCCAACTCTAAACTGAAGTTAACTCCCCTAATTTTAGGGAGTTCAGTTCTTTTTTCTATCGTTTTGTAGTATTTTGTACACTTTTCTCGTTTATTATCAGTCTCTATTAACTCATCAGAAACAATACTCTTTCCACTTACACTCTCAATCTATGTTCTATCTGTGACCGTTATACTACCTCCCATAACTTAACATATTTCCGTATTACTTTTAAGTTACTTATACTGTAGTTAATTGTTTTATTTGTAATTAGTTCTTTCTTATGTATCTATAGTTATTTTTAATTGTGATCTAAAGTATTATGACTGTTTATTTGTTATTATGTATTGATTTGTTATCTGTTTTTTAACTGTTTTAGTTTAATTTTTAAAGTTTGTAATTTGTTATTAGAGGATATGAAACATTTGTGTTTGTTTTTTTCAATCCATTTTTGTCTTTTATTTTTTTTTTCTATGTTTATTTTATTTGGTTTCTTGGATTATTCTTGTATTTTTTTTTCTTTTTTTTTTTTTTGATTCTTTTGATTTTGTCCTTTATTACGAGTATTTTCATTTTAGGACTTGTTTGTATTTTTGAGTTCATAGTAGTTTTTTTTTTTTCTGATGCCATATGAAACATATGCTATGTTGATTCGATTATCATCAGTTATATCGTCCATCTTTTCCTAAAAGATATTCCTACACAATCTAATGTTTATACAACCGTCTACCATATATATCAGATTGGTATTAATAGTTTGGGTGGTTGCTTTGTAGCACATTGCACATTTTGTTTGGAATGTAAAATGGATGTATCTGAAATATATCATTTGCATTCTTCTGATGCTTTCTAAATTATATGGATGGTTTACAAGAGAATTGTAGTTGGGAATGTAAGTGAACACTTACATTCCCAACTACGGATGTAAAATTCATATCACTGATAAATACTGAATATTCCAGGAAAATGCTTCAATTATTAGGTCGAGTATTAGTACGAGGGCCTATTATACAACGAGCCCAATTGCTACAAGTATGATTTTTTTCTTTACACTAAGTAAGGTATTTTATTAGGGAATCTTAATTGATGTTAGTGCAGAAGGAGTCGTTGTGATCTTAGTAATTTAAATATTAAGATGCAGTTATTAACTTAGTTGCCAATTATCATCATGATTCCATTGTCGATTTATTTCAAACGTTGAATTAAATTGAATTTTGATTGAAAACTATGGTAAAATTCTTGTAAACTACGTGTTGATCATATTTGTGACAGAATAAATGACCCTTTGATTTCTTTTTTTCAGCATGTTGGAAGAGGTTTGGCTACGCAAGGTCAGAAGGTGGTTGAGGAAATCAGTGATGATGGTGCCAATTTCCCTGCAGATGCTGAAGATTTTGCAGGAATAGAAGCTGATGCAGACTCCAGGACGCGTTATAATTTTGAGTAGGGCATTTGACTTTTTTTATTATTCCAAAATGCTTTATGAATAAGAAAGTAAGATTTATGAATAAGGAAATTTCGGAATATAAGGGATCAAGAATTTCTTTTTTTTTCATAGTTTTTAAAATTTGACATTACTTTCAGTACATTTTTTCTCCATTAGTTATTCTTTTTCATAATATATGTTTTTATAGTGAGAACCATATCGAAGTGACTGGTGTTGTTCGGGGACCACCGAGAGTATATACAATGCCAACCGGTCGACAATATGCCATTGTAAAGCTATCAACAACAAGTGGTATGTTGTTGATTTGTGTGATTTGATTATTATTATTTATTAATATTAAAAGAAAAAATTAAAATTCTTAATTTATTAGAAAAAAAAAAGGAAAACAAAAAACTTAAACCCAGAGAATTTTTTGTTTCGAATTTATGATTATGATTGTCAAGTATGTGCAAGATTTTGTTGAAGTTGATCGTCGAGGTTCTGGACGATTTGTCTCTTTTGTCGATGTTTTTGCGCCTAATAATATAGTCGACTATATCAAGGATCACGTTCGTGAAGGTATACTGTCTTGATTGTTTTTGAGTTACCTTCTTTCTTTGTTCGACAATAATTGTTTTAACGTGTCAGATTACTTAGCAGACATGTATTATAATTTTATGTTTCTATTAAAATCTCGGATATGCTTCAGGAATACAAGTATACGTGAGCGGTCAGCTTAGGAGTAGACTGCGAACAGATGAAGATGGACGATCATTCCAGGATGTACGAGTTCAAGCTAGTGGACTTTTCAAAATCGTTGATCCAAAACACATCATAGAAAAGAATAGTTCAACTGGGAAGGATGCCAGTAAAGTGAATTCAGGAGCAGAGCAAACATCATAAAATGTCTTTGATATGTGGTCACTGCATAAGTTCTTTTTTGCTTTTTTATTCTGTGTCTCTTGTGAACATTTTTATTACTTGTGAACATGTTTATCACTTTCCTGTATGTAATCTATTTACTTTCTAAAACAATAAAAGAAATTCTAGAGTTTCGTTTCCAGTAAAAATTTACCTTATCGCATTTCCTTCTCAGTCTTTGTTTTTTACTGTCTTTAATGCGCATGAAATTTTAAAAGGTGAGTAGATATGCTGATCAGTTGCTCTAATCATCGTATCTATTCATGTTTTTAAATAATCCTGTACCGGTTGTTCTAACCTGCTGCTTCATATATATTTTATATTAAAAATTGAGTAGCTTTCATAAATGATAACTCATTCAGGCTTCATATCCAAAGTTTCAGTTAAATTTTAAGTCATATAAATGATTAAGGAATTGTTTATTTATTTTTTAGAGCTGTTTGCATGCAAAGATTTTAGCCCTATGTTCTTACAGGCTGAGTCATTCTAAATCAGTTTGAATATAAACCCTAACTTAGAAACTGCCTAAGCGATAGAGCTAAAAATACATGGGAACTATATGTAACCTAGATCCAAGGAATATTCCTCTGATAATGTCTTCTTTTTTTACAAGGATGATGGTATCTGCACGAAGATTACATTAGCAAAATCAGTTAATTAAAGCAAAGAGCAACTTGAGAAGCAACGAATTAAATCAAAAAATGCTTGAATCTAATAAAATTATGGGACAACCGACACTACAAAAATCAGAAAAATTGATTTAGCAAAAGATGATAAAGATAAGTGTAAGAGAATGAGCGTCATTTAACTAAAGCATAACGATGAATGTGTGGGAGTGTTTGTGGAGATTTTGTCACAAGCGACCTTATTTTATTTGTGATGCTAATTCATTTGAAAAAAAAAAAAGTTTTCTTGAAGAAATGTTTCTGGAAATTTTAGTTTTCGAAATACAAATATGATCTTTTCTGAAGTATGCATGTAGCAAATAAAATTATGTAATAAAGAAATTGATTGATTCATTTAGCAACAGCAACAATTTTCGTTATTCGAGTATTTGTTAAAAAAATTTTTCAGTTGTAATTCCTTTTAAAAAATATCTCTCAAGTGATTCCATCAAATGAAATGCTACGAAGAAAGATTATGACATAAATTAATGATATTTGATAAAATTTAGAAAATGAACTATTTGGAGACAGTGTATGAAATGAATTCGACGATCAAAATGGCTGTAATAATAGATAGCACTGTTAGACTGACCGAAAAATAAAAAATGGGAAAAATACCTTAAATCTTTCTTAATTCATTCCAAAGTAAAACTCCAGTGATTAGCATCCATTTTGTTGCAAAGGGTTTTTGTTTTATTTAATTTTTTTCGTTCCTTTTAAGTAATAAAATACGTCGAGAATGAAAAATTGGATAAATAAGAAAGGGAAAAGACATTTCTCATCACAGAATACTAGACATACTTTGAAAATTGCAGAAATTTGTTCATTAAATGTTTTAAATAACACTGATAAGAAAAAAAATAACGAAAGTAGTACATTTATTAGCAAAATGTTTCAAAATGTAAAATAGTTTCAGTTGAAATGATTAATTGAGGTATGTATTATAAAATATAAGCGACACTGCAAAAATAGCTAAAGTAATTATTTGCACCGTAGTGAATTCAAATTATCCATAATTTTCGAAATTCGAAAAAAAACATCATCTAATGGTCTTATTAATATCTATGATACAATTATTTACAGTTCAATGAAATATTAATGACTTTTCGGGCTATTTGAAAATGAAACATTTACAATTTATCGGGAAAAAAATCTTAAGGTAAGTTCACACTTCCGAACATATTAAGATATGAATAATCAGGTGATTCTTTACTTATTTTTGCTGAACGGAATGAATTTCTTCGTGAAAATTTATTGCATTCTGCAAAAAAAGGAAATAATTAAAGGAAAAGCAAGTATTAATAATGAAAAATCTTGAAAATATAACAAGCAAACTTTAGTTTCATTCAATAATTTGCAAAATTTCACTTCTCAATTATAATTAACTTTGTTTATATTTATTTCAAAAATGGTATCGTATGAAAGATAGCAATATGAAAGAATAATAAATGAAATGAAATATTGTGATTTGCTAATGGATTAAAACAAATTGACCAAATTAGCTATTAAAAGTTTAAGAAAAAAAAAATTAACTATCAGAGAGAAAGTATTCTAAGAATTAAGAAGTAATCCTATAAAAGTATCCGAGTTTTTTAGTCCTTAAATATAGGACGGAATTATTAGAATTGTAAAATTTTCATCCAATATTACCTGTTTTTTTATCACATATCATTTGATCACCATTTTTTATAATTGATTCAGTCTTTTGTCGTCGTTTCGCGATAATTTTATTATAAAATTCCATCTTAAAAAACGGTTAAATTGTGCATAATTTTAATTGAAGTTTTCGAAATGAAGTACGAATGAAAGAGAGCAAAAGAAGTAACCGTTCTTATTTTAGTAGAATATTCGAATAAATTTTAATTCACAAAAAAAATTTTAGATAAAAAAATAGAGCAAAATTTAAACAAATTGATGAAAATAATTTTCACACTTATCTTAAAACAATTAAATGCAACGATAGATATAAGAAGCTGAAAATTTTCTATTCGCAAATGCAACAGAATGTTTTATTTGTTTCATAAATTCTCAAAAAATACCAAATAACACTTGAAATATTATTCATATATTACTTGATGCTTTCTTAGTTTACACAATTTTGTTCGTTGATGACGTTAGTGAAATGATCAATGATTTCTTATTTACATAGAGATTTATCTTTCCATTCATCCAGCGTTTTAATAAATTTTATAATTAACTTTCGTCCATTTTTATTACTTATCATTTTTTAATAATTTCTTCATGTAATATATCTAAAATTTTCTAAAATAATTAGCAGTGCAACGTTATTTTTTACAATTTCTTGCGCATAATATGAAGTTAACATGCAGTAAAATTACTATTTAAAGAAGTAATTAAATATTGATTAGCTAGAACGAATCAATTGTTGACCAATTAGTCGGTCAGTGGCTAGTAATTTTATTATTGGTAGATTAGTAACTGGGTTTATTATAGTTGACCAATAATTGCTATCATCAGTAAATAGTTTGCTGATCACTCAATCAGTATCGATTGATCAAAAATTATGATAAAACGGTGAAGAAAAAGTAAAACGACGAATATAAAAACTAACTAAGTAATGTTAGTTTTGCTCAATTGATCATATCAACAGATTAAACGATTAAATTAATTAATTCAGTTAGAATAAAAAGTTGAACAGTAATTAATGGTTTCTCATTTCTATTAACTTTCATTCAAATAACTAAACTGTGGTACTTAAATATCATTGTTAGAATTTATTTCACAGACGATTAAATCTATAATCTTTTTTAAATATTGATAGCTATACTAATGTAATTTCTTTTAGATAATGATAATATGCAAAAGAAGCAATAAAAAAAAAAAAAAAAAAAAAAAAAAAAAAAACGTAGGATTTCTTAGAAAAATACTTGCAGTAAATAAGAATTGACACCGAAATATCCAAATATAGAAAAAAAGCAGAAAGAGAGAATAAATTTAACTTTTTTGCATCATTTTTAATATCAAAGAAATTCCACAAAAATATATAATTTTACTTCAATTTATTCAAAATTCACTAAAAGAAAGAAATTTTCTAATTCAAATAGCAAGTTTTACTTAAAGAATCTAAGTTAAAATGCTTTTTTTTTTAAAAGAGAGTTTGAAATGAATTTCATTATTTTGAAAGAATGTTTTTTAAAAAAAAAAACAAATGAAAGTAAGAAAAATGGTGATTTCGCCAAACTATTTGTACTTAAGATGATGCAAGAAAATGAAGTTAGTTTGATGACAAAAAAAGTTCAAAAAAAAATTTTTCTTATTTACCATTTAACATCAGTTGTTAAGCACTTTCAGGGGAAAACGAAAAAAAAAAACGAAAAAAAACAAAATGATCATTCATCAACATGTTGATAAACAAATTACAAATGAAAAACAAGCTCGAACTGAATTATTCGGAAAAAAAATTGAAACTTTGTTTTCTTTTATTTTTTAGATACCTTTAATTTGAATGATGAAACTTTATCACCTGTCACCTCTATTCTCGTTCTATTACTTTTTAGTTTTTTCTCAACTTTTTTTCTTACCTGAAATTTATTTTGCTTGAAAGGTAGTGTTTACATTAATCATCATGGGAATGCTCTTTATTGCATATTTTTTTTTTAGTTATGAATTATTTATAATAGTTTTTAATTATTTAAAAAATGACAATTTAACGATCATAGCAGATGTTATATTTAAAAAGAATTATTCTACCATTTCTTTTCTTATGTCCAATACTTGTAATTATTGAAATAAAAAGAAGGAAATATTAAAATCTTTGGGATGGATTAAATTTTTATTTATGTTGTTTTTACAACATTCTTGAATGAATGACGTAAGTGTTAAGTGTTGATACATTCGTAAAGATTCTCTTTCAAATTTGATTTTTGATTTATTACATTCCAATAGAAAAATATTTTGATTTCTTAAAATTTTTTTCTCTTTCTAAGAGTGACAAATTTAAGTCAGTTTTCAAAATTTTCATTAAAAGTAGTTAAATAAGCTAAATTAATTATAAACTTAGGGTTTAAAAAATTTTTCTATTCCTACATTTAATTATATATCAACGTATGAATTAAAAAACAAAAAGGAAGGAAGGGATGATTGCAATAAAAAAAGGTTGCAATTTGTATGAAATTGACAATTTAGATTTTGAAATTAGATGTATTCAGTGTTTAATGAATAATGCATAGAAATTTAATAAAATAAAGTAAATTGAATATTATCAGATAATACAAGATGAAAAATAACATCAAAATATAGAACTAATAAAAATCGCAAAATAATTAGAAGACAATAGTTCTTTTTCTCTTTTACAAAATTCTTCTCATTTTTAGGCGTTGTTTGTTTCTGATATAAAATCAGTTCATAATATGAATTATTGAAAATTTTCTGGAGAAAAATTTATGAATTCAAATCTCACTTGCTTTTGAAATTTGTAGGAAGGAATTTAAATTTCGCTCATTTTCAATTTTATTTACTTTGTATTTCCTTTACCACTTGCATATTTCAATAGCTTTAAAACAATTTTAATTTTAAGTGAAAAATGAATCAGTCATCAATTAAATTTTTCACTGAAGTTTCTTGATGATTGTGCTTTGAAATTATTTTTTTTATCAATTCCATAATAGAGAGAAGAATGAAGTAGCTAAATGCAGTGATCATGTTGGCATGTCTTGCATACGATGATGTCTGCGAGAATGTAACAAATGTGGAAGCTAAGCTCGGCCAAACAGTACAGTTAAAATTCAACAAATTCACCGGCAATATTGATATTGAATTGAAGTATCCCGAGAATGGTGCAATTTATCAAAAGGCTATAATCAAAGATGGCAAAACAACAAAATACGGGGTAAATTATTATTTTTTTTGTTCATATTACGAACAAGAGAAAGATTTAACTTAGATATAATTCATTTGATGTATTTGAAAATAATTCAAGTATCAATTCACTTCGAAACAGTTTTGAAGCAAATCATCATTATTACTTTATTTTTGTGATTAACACGTTATAGATGGAACGTTTTGGAAATCGGATAACCTACATAAACGGCAGTCTTATTATAAGAAATGTAAAGGAAAGTGATGCAGCATCATATACATATAAATTAGGTCATTATTCACAGAAAATAAAACTTATTCTTTCATAGCAACTATACATTTGAGTGTAATCACCTTCCTTGATATGGTTTTATCACTTTGATACTACTCGTTGTAATGATAGGGATAGCGTCCAAATAAGTAGTGAATGAATGTTCATAAAGAATTGTTTTACTTTAATTAATTGGATTGTGAAAAATAAGGAAAAATCTTTACATTGATGTGAGGAACAATCATGCTATGTTTTAATATAGTTTCCTTACCCCTTCTTCCCATTCCAAATTTTCTAAAAGCATATGTTTTCAAATTCAATTTTGGTCCTGTTTTGATTTAATTGCGAGGGAATGTTATTGCAACAGTGAAATGATAATCGGATCACGAATCTAATACCTTTCAAGGTCCTAAGATCTTTGTTTAAGGCGAAATTTTAGTCACTGCTCTCTTTATTATTACTTATTTTTTTTTTTTTAGAACCAAATATAATACTATTTAATTTATGTTACGGATGCAATCAAACACTACTACATTGCTGCATAGAACAATTTAACTTACTAAAGAATTATATAGCAGAAAGGGTATATGAATGATGGAAATTTTAGTTGAATTAATAAATCACAAGACAATATATATATATATATATATATATATGAAAAAATAAGAACTGTACCATCTAATTCACTGTTCTAATAATCGTAACAAATGCGTAAAGCCATTACAGAATTTATCACTTTGCATTTATATTTGTAATTATTTGCGTGCATTATCATAATTGTCGATAAACCAATCAACAGATTCTTTAATTGCTATTTCGAATGGTGTGAATTTGAAATTTGGTAAGTATTTGCGTAATTTGGCATTTGATGCAGTCTTCTTATATTGTCCATCAGCTTTTGTTTTGTCATGCACTATTTCACCCTGAAATAATTTCAGATTAACTTGTCCATCATTTACTAGAAATAAATGCCTATTGAAACTATGTTTCAACTGATGAAGTTAATTTCTAATAGTATACAAATATTTTTAAGGATACTTTAAAATCGAAGGCTCTGACAACGGCATGAACAGCATCCATAATTGATACTTCGTCTTCTTCTCCCACTGATAATATAATTGGATCAATTTCCTGAAATTTGATACAGTAACGCAAATTCCTAAGAAAGACAACTCAATTTAAATGAAGTACGGAAAAATGAACTTCGTATGATCTTGCGACCCAAATGAAAAGTCGAGCCAAATCTAGAGAGTAAATAAACTGGCGCAATGGTGTTCCACTGCCAAATACCTGAAAAAAGGGTGAGCAATAATATTCGAATATGATAAGCATTACTTCAATGCTTTTGCAAAAATTTTTTTGAGAATCACATGTTTTTAGCCTTTCCCTTACCTAGTCCTTTATGCGGAATGAGAAATTTGCTTAAGAGAAGAACAAAGCAGACCAAAAAAAAAAAGAAAAAAGGAAGCGGAGAGAAAATTTTCAAAGTATTTCATGTTAACGCAATGTTAATTGCACTAACATGACACTGGTATCATAAGCGGTTCAAATGCAACCTCTAAGGGTGTTCCTTCATGCTTCGCAATATAGGTTTTGTGAATTAAAGCCGGGATGACATGTCCATCTTTCAAATTATAATTGTCATGCGGTCCAAACACATTACATGGTATTACAGATGTATATTTCCTGTAAATTTGAAAGAAATTTTAGAAAAGTAACAAATATTGTTCACGACAATTTTTATTGTGTCTAACGTCAAGTAATATAAATGAGAATTATGAAATAAAATAGCTTGAATTTGATATTAGATGAATTTGGAAGTAAACGGAATTTCATATTAAAAGTGAAAAAAATCTTAATATTTCACTTACCGACCAAATTCTTGCGCATATCCTCTATTAAGTACATCGATCATTCTTTTTGCATATGAATAACCAAAATTACTGCTATGAGGAGGACCATTATGAACCTATAAAATTGACAAATATCATTAAGTCTACAAAAAAGAGAAAAAAACAATTTTCAAATTAGTATGAAAATAAAACATCCTATAATGATAATGCAATGTATAGTTAATTATTCATTAATAATGAAGCAATGCAAATTTAAATGACATTACTGTATATTAATCAGTCAAAATAAACCAGTTCGATGATTAAATGGAATAGTACGAAGGTTAATATGATCATTCGTGCTTTGAGACTAGTAGGCTAAATTCTACTTCCGATTACTTAAAACACTGTGCAAAAAATACTTACCATAGTTTCATCGATTGGATACGTAGTTTTATCAGGAAAGACACATGTTGACAGACATGATATACATTTTACAACATCGAATTCATTACATGCCATCAGTACATTGTCATTAATTTGCTGAAGCAAAACCTATTCGAATGTAATCCTTCTGTACCTATCTATTAAAACAACAATTTCCAACAAAAAAATATTTATTAAAACAACTAAAATTTCCGACAAATAACGGTTCTGTAAAAAAAATTATGATATTTAGTGGCTAGCACTGCGTATTGTTTAATCAAAAAAATTTTAAATTTATAGTCAGAATAACAGAAATATTTATAAGTGCCGTCTAGTAGTATGGAGATGGTGCATTGGTAATATGCTTGAATAACAGCCGCTGAAACAACGAGTTCGAGTCTCGAGTAGCAGGCAGTGATGAAAACACTAGAGTCTCAGATTTATATTATGATTCGAAAAAGTGCTCATCTACTGAGTCTGCAGTAGAATTCCTCTGTAACTATTTGTCTGTCACAAAGGAGGTCCGGTTAAGTAGTTTAATAAAGAGGGTTCTGAATTACCATATTTTTCCGAAAAAATTGTAAATTACAATGGAGATTGTGGAAAAGACCGCCAACCATAGCCGCTAAATGAATCACGTGAGAAGGTCTGCACTTCATGAATAACTTTCTTGTAGCTTCAATATCTGTTAAATCACAATCATTTCGTCCAACGAATATCCAGGTTTCATTTGGTCGTGCTTCTTCAGTTGTTATTATCTACAAAAAGACTTTTACCATATGTTTTAAGAAACATACCGTTATAAGATGAACAAATCATGGTATTAACTCTTACCCAAAAATATAATTGTCGTAATTTTAATTTGGTTTATTGTGAAGAAAATTACGGTAAACCGGTTAAGTAGTTTAATAAAGAAATTTTGATATAGAGAATGGGTGATATAAACATAAGAATATTTTCGCTTAATAATTCGCTTATTTCTCATATGATAAAGATAATTTTCTATATTTAATTTTACTTCTTTTTTAAGCTAATTTACATATTTGAAAATTTGAATTACCTGTGTGTAGAAAGCAATTTCAATTTGAAAGGATAATATTTCACTTATTTAATAGTATTCCTTTACCACTGTACTCATACTGAATTTTTTAACTGGAAGGTACGGTACTCAGATAAAAACACTAGTTATAAATTAAAAGAAACAAAAGTGTTACCTTTTCAATGGAGCGTCCCACAAGACCTGTTCCACCAGTTACCAATACTGTCATCGATTGCTCTCGATCCATAATTTTGTGCCTAGTTTCAAACCAGCCTGTAAAACTAATGGAACCCAAATTAAAAGACAACACATAAAATTATTAAAAAAAAAAAAAAAAAAACTTGCCTGTGGTGTTCATCCCTGCGTATGCTTAAATTTTTTAGGACAACTGCTTCCCTTGTGAAAAAAGAGCCACCGACTTAAGCGTTATATGACATGCCATTGTTCCAGCTGCCTCTCATGGCTCAGCACAACTAATTCCCGCAATGTCTCATAAACTACACTTAAAAGATAATTTGAACACTTATCCCACCAGTGCATATTACCTTTTTGTATGACTTGGCTTTTTCAGATTTAATCAACATGGAATGTTAAAAATTCCAAATCATCATAATGTAATTTTATTTCTAATTAAGATACACGTGTCACGCGATAATAACCTACTTCATAGCCATCCTACTCAGTAGAAAATAAAATCAACTACCTCACATTTACATCGCCTTTTTTTATTTGGACTAAATTTATCCTCAATTTAATTTTTGAAACTGGTCATTGCTACTTCAATTTGGAAATTTACACTAAAAATTTTTAAAATTAAACTAGTAAATAAAAATCCGTTTTTCTATATGTTTTCAAGTTCTCAAGAGTTGTCTTGGTTATGTTATGAAAAAAAGTGCGTTATAAAAAAGAGACTACAAACCAACTGGCATTTCCTTTGACCTCATACTGATACTTTAATTTGTATTCTAATACATAACAAAGTGGAAAAGAAGAGGAAAACAAATTTAAAATATAAGAGAATAATGATAATAAATCACTGATGCTAACCAAATACAGTTTGAATACATTTATGGACTGCTTCTTCTGCAATTACGCAAGTTACTCTTGAAAAATCATTGGAAAGTGGGAAACAATATACTAAAAAGCAAACGAGATTCCTGCAAAAATGAGCAAGAACACCACAACGGTAACAAATAAATATCCAGAAAAAATGGAAACAATTGTATCAATTCTTTCTAAAAACCATCCGGTCGTTTAACTGCGTATTTTTTCGTATAATCTTCTGCTGTCTTATTGAATTTTTTCCTATCTTTCGTAAATTCTTCGGCAAGATCTGCTCGCAATGGATGGTCAGGTTCTGGTTCGGTAATCAAACCAAGCAATGCATTCATCACTGAAATTCACCACTCTTCCTTTAATTTTTCGTTGCACTATGAACTACGATACACAAAAATTGTGAAATAAGCAAAGCAAGAAAATATTCTTAGTTTATTTATTTCTTATTGTTACTCACAGTAATTAAGACATACAACACAGGCAATCTCTGAAACGGTTAATTTCAAATAACTAACTAGGAAGTTGGTTTCGCAAACTAGACGACGAACAAGACTACTGAGTACAAATAAGCCATATTACAAATAAGTTATATTATAAATACTTCTTAAAGCTTTCAGACGTATTCTGTGGATAGTAAAGAAAAGCATGATCGAAACTTTTATTAATAAATAATTTTGAAACTTTATCATCAAAATGCAAGACTCAAATTTTTGAGTAAAAACTTTCTCTTGAAAACCAAACTCTAAAATGTAAGAAATGACCTTGTTCGGTTTTGGTAGCAGGTTTCCAGTTGTCAGGTGATATGATCGGAAGACATACTTGTCCCTTTTCGTCAACATTTGGGTGGTAAATCTTCGTCAAAAATGTGATTTTGGGCGGTTTAAACGGATATTCTACTGGAAAATCTATAGCTACTTTAAATGCTCCCTTGTTGTATGGCTCTTTATCCTGCAAATAATGCAACCCATAATACAAAAAAAGAAACCACTACACTCTGTTAATACTTCATGAATTTGCTGCTGGTTTCCGGTGATCTTATTATAAATACACAAGATATCTATGAAAAGCATTTTCACTGGTTAATCCTAAAGTCGGCAGTATGACTTATTTAATAATATACATACCGGAACAAGGAGACCAGTCCAGTGCAGCAAATTATTTTCATCAAATTCAACACAGCAGAATGTCCTCGAATCAGATGACTGAATATCTGTTAGTTCCTACAAAAGGATTTAATATGTTTAATACAACAACGGCTAAAAATCAATAAGAAATACACAACTACACACCAAGCAAACAATCATTAACATTTTTAGAATTAAATAATTTCCATTCTTCGCCCTTAAAAGTGATGAAATGGAAGTAGCTGCCAACGCAAAAAGAACACATTCCAAAAACATGATGACAGCCAATTATGCAAACTGAAGCTATAAACAGCTTACCAAAAAGTTATCAGCACTGTAATAGTTGCAACTGCAAAACAAATTAAAATTTATTTGGATTCGAAAAAAAAAAACAAACGAACTTTTTTTAATCGGCGTGATGAAGAGGCCATTTTTGAGTAAAGTCGGTATAAACCCTGAATAAATTGATTGTAAACAGATAAATCAAACCGCTTTTCGCAAATGAACTTAATTAAGCATTACTTTTTGATATTTTTCATTTTCAAAATTATCCACTTCTGTCCCGTGAAAACTGTGGCATCCATTATTTTTTTCTCCGAAAATATTTCTCAGAAACATTAAAAGTCTATTTTATTTCACTCCCACTACGACAGATGGAGAGACAGAAGATTTCAATAATTCGATTACTGCATGCGAACAATTCTTACATATGTTCCTTAAAGATTTTTAGCAAAAACATGGAAAGAAAAGATTTGTAATGCTGAAATAAGGCGATGACTGCATCCCAGAAATCAAAGTGGTGCGAATTGAAATGATTTGGAATTTTTAATCAACATCAAATGCATGACATACATCTGTTATTTGTAACAGAAATTAAACGAGAAAGCAATGCTCACGTAGTTTTCATCATCTTCGCATCAGATTAAGGAGTAATTCTTGAACAGTGTACAAAATTATAACATAGAAACGTGACTAAACAAGCGCTCGTCAACTTTTCAGCTTACCAAAAACAATCCACTCGACCAACCCCAAGAAAAAGTCAAGTAACAATTACCAAACCCCGTGACAAACTAATAAGTCTCCTTCTCATTTCAACGGCCCATCTTAACAGGATACTATGAAAATTCAATTCCGATATGGCGGAAAAGAGCAAATTACAAATCGAATGAATTTTATATTTTCTTTTTCTTTTATTAAGAAGTTTGGACAGATGTTATGATGGAAAAGTTGGTTGGAAATACTGCAATTGAAATGAATTCGTCTCGAGCTCTATAATCACTGTAGTATATTCATTCGGTTTTTGTAATAAATGCGGTTCAGTGTTAGCATCTTGAAAAGCCTTATGAAGTAAGATTCGTGTAAGTATTGCATGTAATGGTTTAGGAGTGGTGCAAGGAGTGGCTCTCTGCTAATGATTGTAGCCATCCGGAAATTTACTGGAAAAAGTTTGCATCACGGAATGTTTCTTATTCTGAAATATTTCTTAAAGGCAGTCAGATTTCTGATCGAGTAGGATGGACATAGGTCGATTTTAGTAGAATGTAAAGAATGTCTGGCTGGTGTAGATATAAAATATTGTATAACTAAAGATTGTGAATATTACTTATTATTAATAAAGTATTGAAATGAGAGCGACGACTCAGATTCGAAAAAATGATAAGATTAATAGGGGACCCCAGAAATAAGTGATATATCGATTAAAATATTTCTGGAATAAATTTAGTTTTGTTATTATGTAATATAAACTGAAAGAACTTGAATAAGAAAATCAATCACTTACTTACAAAGCATTTTATAAACTTCAATATTTCAAAAATATTTTCTAGATTCATTATTGTAGTGTAAGATTTTGTCAATTTTGCTAGTATTTCTCTGACTTAACCGTCTTATTGTGGGGTATTCCCAATTTAAATACTTAATTATAAAATATTTTCTGAATTTAATTACTTTTCAAAGCGTTGTATATTGTTGTATTGCGATGCTATTGAAATGTAATTATTTTTCTAAAACGATATGTCAAGTAATAATTTTGCTTTCAGGAAAAGTACCATTTCATTCCTTACAACAAGCTAATTAAATGGATAGTAGTGTTATAGTTTCGAAAATTACCGATTCAGAAGGAACACATGTACAGAATGAATTCTATCGCTTCATCAATGAGTAAAAAAATATTTTTTTTTTCTACATGTCAATTAATTTTATTTATTCCTTAGACAATATAATGGAATTTTTCGATTTCGGGATTTCAAATAGTATAGAATTTTCGACATGAATCAAATAGGACTTATTTAAATTTCATCTCGTATATGTCTTACGAAATATAGAACGAAAATTGTTTCCCAGATTCGAAGACCCGAATGGAACGCTTATCTATAAGGAGGATATTCCACATTTGTATCATCCAGAACGCAATACACTGTTTGTCCAATTCGACGATATTTTCTCCTTTAGCAATACGCTTGCATCAGCACTTGAATTACAGTTTTATAGGTAAATTTTATTTTCATCCTTACACATCATGAAATTACTTTGAAAGTATTTGAAACTCTAAAGTGTTGCAGGCTATATCCATATCTGTGCAAGGCATTGCACTTAACTATTATGGATGGTTGCAACGATGATAATATCAAACAGCGAATGCAACGAAAAGAATTTTATGTTAGTATTGGACAAATTAGAAATAAACTCAGGTATTGTTGATTTCGTTTACCTTTGAAGCTCTGTTTTATTCTCTTTTCGGAAGAAAAGTTTGGGGGGAAACAATATTATGACCATCAAAAAATAACATTCCGAAAATTTGCATTCTAATATCTAATATTTGTCCTCAATTTAGAGTTCGTGAATTGACAGCTAGTAAAATTGGCGCTTTGACGTGTATTTCGGGACAAGTAGTGCGAACACATCCAGTTCATCCTGAGCTTCATAAAGGTGTTTTCATTTGTGATGACTGTGGATCAAAAGTTAAAAACGTTGAGCAACAATTTCGCTATACACCGGTATTATTTTCTATCAAGATTTACAATTCGCTGTTGATACATTGCTGAGTTGAAAATTTGATGTAAACTATAACACATAACTTTTTTGGTTCACTTTATATTTAACGAGTTCTTGGGTAAATTACACATTATCAATGTATTAACTTTGGTAATATCTTATCAAAAAGAGGTAGATTTGCAGCCGGCACAGTGCGCAAATCAACAATGCAGTAATCGTGGTCGTTTCCAGTTGGATATCTATGAATCATCATTTATCGATTTTCAGGTATTTCCGAATATCTGATTTTTTTAATGTTTTCTGGACGGCTCTGAACAGCTAGTTTCTTTTTTAGAAAATACGTATTCAAGAGACCCAAGCGGAATTGCCGCGAGGTAGTATTCCGTTGAGTTTGGATATTATCTTACGCGGTGAACTCGTTGAAACTATACAACCGGGTGATCGTTGCGATTTTGTTGGTGCTCTGATTGTTATTCCGGACGTCGCTCAGCTGAGTGCGCCAGGTGTGTAGTTTTTTATTGTTAAATTCAAATTTTAAATTTGGTTTGCATGAAGAACTGTTCAAATGTTTCATTTTAAGGTCTTCGAGCAGAAGCTTCTCGTCGTAACCGACGTCGTGGTATAGGAAACGAGCAAGAAGGTATTACTGGCCTGAAGGCTTTGGGCGTACGGGATATGAACTATAAATTGGCATTCCTAGCATGTAATGTCACAACTTCAATTCCTTCGGTTCGGTGCTGATCATATGCTTACTATTTCTTATTTAGTAATCTATAATTGATATGTTTTTCAAACGAAATTTCATGTTAAGTGCTCGAAAAAGATTTTTAAATAAAAAATTTGGGTTGGATTTTTTTCATAGTCTTTTTCAATAACTGAAGGTTTTCGTGATTGAAAATTTTCAGCAATTATTTGTGCAAAAAAAAAAAACTGAATGATGTAAGATGAAATTAGTTTATTAATCATCGTTTTACTTCCAGTTTGGTAGTCGAGTTCTCGCACGTGAAGATTTGGATCATAATGAATTGTGGTCTCAATTGTCTGAAAATGAAAAGAAAGTGATGCGTAAAATGAGTGAAGATAAATCAATTGCCCAGAATCTTATTCATAGCTTATTTCCAGATATTTATGGGAATGACGAGGTTATTTATATTTAATATTTTATTGTTTTAATTTAATTAACATTCGTTTTTTTTTTTTTTTTTGTCTCAAAATATTATTTGTAGTGAAAGTCATAGTTTTGTTTGAAACAAAGCTTTATAAGTCTTAACTAAACTTTTGGGTTAGAAGAAAAATAAAAAACTTTGTTCTAAATATTAGTCTTGATTACAGGTGAAACTTGGAGTGCTTTTGATGCTTTTTGGTGGTGTTCAGAAACGAAGTGAAGGAGAAGGAACTACGTTACGTGGTGATATAAATGTTTGTTTGATTGGTGATCCAAGTACAGCGAAAAGTCAAATTTTGAAGTTTGTTGTTATCATTTAAATTAAATGTCTATTGACAGGTATTTTTCCTGACTCATTAACCAGTTATTGTAATTTTAGAACAGTGGAACACTTTTCACCGAGAGCGGTTTATACTTCCGGCAAGGCATCATCAGCAGCTGGTTTAACAGCAGCAGTTGTTAAAGACGAAGAGTCATTTGAATTTGTTATTGAAGCGGGAGCTTTGATGCTTGCAGACAATGTTTGTTTTAAAATATGTTCTGACTTGAATAATTTGTTATTTAGGCAAAAGGGAAAAAATTTGAAATTAAAGGTGCTAACTTCAGTCAGTAAAATCTGAGAGATTTTAATGATTTCTAGAGAATAAGAGTTCCAGGGTGTTTGTTGCATTGATGAATTTGACAAGATGGATGTGAAAGATCAGGTTGCAATTCATGAGGCTATGGAACAGCAAACCATATCAATAACAAAAGGTGGAAAAAAAACAATTTTTTCTATCTGGATTATTTAAGCACAAACATTTCCAATGCTATCGAATATATTCCCAGTAAGGTGTAGGATAAAACTATGATTTTATTTATTTAGCCGGCATAAAAGCGACACTGAATGCTCGTGCTTCAATTCTAGCAGCAGCAAATCCGGTTGGTGGCCGTTACGATCGGTCACGACCATTAAAGAATAACATACAGCTTTCTGCACCTATTATGTCAAGATTTGATCTTTTCTTCGTCTTAGTTGATGAATGCAATGAGGTAATGTGGTATGCTTTTAGTTGCTCTGAAAAGTGACGAGAGATGAATATAATTGCTTTGTTGATGTTTCGGTGATTTGACGATTTCAAGCCTGAATTTCAATTGAAAAATTTAGTGGTGATAAGAAGTGTTTTCGTTTTTTTCTCAGTTTTCTAATTTGTCAATTAATATCATCAATTGATGTTTGCGTTGTTTGTCAGATCGTAGATTACGCTATAGCTCGTCGCATATTGGACACTCATCGTCAGTTGGCAACCCAAGAAAAATCAGAAACAGTGTATAGTCTAGACGACATCCATCGTTACATTACATTTGCTCGATGCTTCAAGCCAAAGGTACGAATATCTCAAATTATCAAAAACGAAAAAAACGTGATGTTTGAAACGAATACAAATTCGAGGTTTTAGATGAGGAATCCAAATTTTTGAAGCTCTTAAACGGTCACACATCAATATGTCTGTAAAATATACGTTAAATTTAAGATTGGTGATGCAGCTGCAATGCTTTTGGTTTCTGAATACAAGCGTTTACGAATGAGCGATAGTAATAATTCAACTACCTCATCCTGGCGAATAACTGTACGACAACTGGAATCGTTAATACGACTTTCCGAAGCACTTGCTCGACTTCATTGTGAAGGCGAAGTGAGTTTTATGCTATGAATTTATTTGTTTAAAAAAATTTTTTCATTACGCTTCACTACTATTCCTTTATACATTTAATTTTATAAACCTGCTTTCATAGAGTTAGTCTTGTCTTGCTATAATAGACTAAGTTTGCATTAGGTCAAAGCGGAACATGTTCATGAAGCTTCAAAATTATTGAGCAAATCGATAGTGCGTATCGAACAACCTGATATTGTTTTGCAAGAAGATGATGCACTTCTGGAAGATGAAGTAAGTATATTTATTATTATGAGATTTTTTTTTGTAATTGAATGAACATTAAATTAATATATTAAAATAACAATGACATATTTTTTGAGCAAAAAGTATTTTAGATGATAGACGCAGCAGAACTAGGTAGTCAAGATGGAAGTGCTCTTCGGGAACGAAATCGAGAAGCGGAAGGAAGTACGGTGAGAACCGAAGATGAAGGGGCAAAGAAAATTGATTCCGGAAAGCTGAAAATCAAGTGAGTTTTCTTGGTTTATAATAGATCTAGATCAATAGTTTTTAGTACATATATGATTTATTTATTTTTAGGAATTCTTTTCTTCTCTGTACAATATTCCAGCAACTACAATAAAATTAAACTTACAGATTTGAACTTTACAAGCGAATAGCTGATATGCTAGTATTACACATCAGACATGATGAAGAAACTGAAGAAAATACTGAAAATTGGGAAGGCGTCCGGCAATCACAGCTTATTCAATGGTTATTTTTTTACAAATCAATGTTTCTTTGAAGCAAAATACTTAATTCAGGACAAAATATTTAATCCAAACTTTAATTCAAAATATTTAATTTATCTGATGTTTCTGTTTCTCTTTAATGTTCTTAATATTGTTGCTTAGGTATTTGGATATGATGGAAGAAAGCATAGACTCTGAGGAGGAGTACAATCTTCAGAAAACTATATGTGAACGCGTCATTAGGCGTCTTATCACGGAAGACAATATTCTTATTCAGTTGAACGCAGAGACAGATGAAGATCCTATTGTTGTTGTTCATCCTAATTATGTAATAAGTGATGAATGAGATTTTTTTTTCGCTATAACTGAAATGTCGTCGTTTTATTTTCTATAAAAGATCTTGTAATTTTCTCTAGTAATATACTTTTTTAATATATGTTCGAAACACCTATCTTTGACTAAAGTTTTTTCAGGAATGACTGCCATTTAGATTATAATCTCTTTTTTGTTACATTTCTATTCTGCGCATTGGGTGCATTTTGATGAATACTTTTAATCTTGATTTTACTTACATGATGTTACTTATTTGATTTGATTGAAATATTTTGATTTATTATAGATGGTAATGTTGAAAATAAGTTATAACATTCCTATAATTCCTATGACTAAAAACATTTCCAACAAATCAGTTCATTTTCATATAGAAAACATAGCGATTATTCAGATTCTTGAAATTCAACATCAACAATAACTGCTTCTGAATCAGTATTTTCCGACATAGAACTGCGACAAGAGCCTGTAAAAGCTTGTTTTCGATATAGCAAATTAGTGAGATTTGATAAAATGTTTTAGAATTATAATGAATTTCTGGGTGATATCAAATTTAATATATACTTTCTCCTTCCGAATGATATCCTCGTGATTTCAATTTCCCCCGTTGTTTTTTTCTTCTTACACGAACGTTATTTGCTAACGATTTCATCAATTTGTTGAGATTATCTACTTCCGAAGTTTGTAAATCGTCATACATACCATAAAGATGATCTGTAAATATTCACTGTGTTTGCATGTGAAACTTTTCAGTTTTTTTAAACAGTTACATATGATTCTGTCATGTTATATGATGAAAATATTTTAAAATTTTCGATTTTCAATGTTTTCGATGAAGATTGAAAATTTTGGGACGCAATACGTTAATGTGAAAATGATCAGAAATTTTGAAAGAACCTCGGAAAAGATGTTTGATAAATTTTAGAATAAAATTCTGTTCATCATGTGTTCTCCGAATAAATGTTTCTTGCAAATAATCATCGACTTCACAATGATCTGATAGTGTGATATGTTTGCAATGATCATAGAGGTCCTCTAATTTCTCCACAAATAATTGGATTTCATTTGTTTTCATTTGTTGTTTTATCATATCCAACAAGTAAAGTTGTACTTTTGTTGGTAATCCTTTAAACAAATTATAAAATTGACTAAATGTTGAGAAGCGAACAGTCAGTCATAAGAAAAACAAAATTTTCAACTAGTTTTAAGGTCAAATTCTGGTTGCAGTGGATTTTCAACTTAAAATTATTCGTTTCAAAGATGAAATTAAAAATAAATTTTGCATCAGATAATGCAAGTGCTAGGCAATCAATCTTTTTTCTTTTTTTTTGACTTTAAAATGGAGTATTATGAGGGGTTTCAGGAATCGATACTGACCTTTAAAATTGTCAATTTCTATTTGATTATTCATACTAATTGCTAAATTTTCGACCAATCCACCTTCCATATCAACAATTATCTTTCTGATACACTGCGCTCGACCAGGACGAACTTTGGAAGAACGATCGCCAAACAATCGTACATTAATGGATTGTAAAAGTTCTGAGCATTCTTCCACCGAATACCCATTAATAAGCTAAATTAAATTTGAATGAGTTCCATATTTGAACGAGAGAAGAAAATGTTCTCTAATTTAAGCCTAATTTTTGTAGGAAAAAAGGTGTATTTTTCAATTTTTCTTTAAAGGAAAAATTTCGAAATCAATTTTTTATTTTAAAAATTGAAAAGTATTCAGTTAAATATTTCTGTTTGAATATTTCTCTTTTGAAATTTCATAATTCTTTTTTAAACACCTTTTCAAGAAATGGCATTAATGATTGGATGGTTTGCCCCTTGATATCCAATAAACAATGTGCATTAGCAATCCGAAAATTGATAATTGTGTCATCTGTTTCATTATTTAGTAAAATGACAATGTCGTTATCGGAGGAAGAATTGATAACATTATCAGTATCAAAAGACATTTTTGTGAAATCGATAATTACTAATGAAGATACCTAAATAATGGAAAATTTAAGTGGTGATTTCTATGAGAAATACTTCTTTATTTTTAGCTTAAATGAAATTTAAACCATCTTTTTGAGAACAAATTTGGGAAAAAAAATTGGCTTAGCAATTATGAAAGATAGATAAATCTTGTAGAACATCTCTATTAAATGTTATCTTTCAGTTTTAGAGATAAATCTAAGTAATTAACTAAGATTTTTTACAAGTCCGAATTCAATTTCAAGATTTTAAGATATGAACGAAGGATGGGAAAAAATAACCTGTATTTTATAAATGAAATCAGTTTTACCATTTGGACAGATATGTTCCCATGAAATAATTGCAGAATCAATTCCTGCATAAAATATCCCAATTTCAGGGTCTTTCCGGTTTTTTTTATATTTTGGTTCATTGAGTGCAACCAGATGTGTCTTGTTGATATCGAGAGCATGTTTCACATTCACCAGTAATTCCGATTCTGATACTAACTTCTCGAATTCGTCATCAGTCAAAGCCGGGATAGTGTCAATGGTGTGAAGCATTTGATCCAAAAATTGCGCAAAAAATATTGGCATTTTGCTTCTGGTAGCATTATCAAGAAAGTAGTACAATTTGCCAATTTGGCCTAAATTTAGTTTTAAATTCAAAAGAGTATTTTCATCAAAAATTAAGCCATGAAAAAAAGAAATAAGCCCTATTTCTATTTGAATTTAAATCTTACTAATATCGCCATGTAATGCTTCGTATGGAAGCACATTTTCCCACTACGTAATGATTAATAATCTAATAATAATGATGATGAAAAGATTGAGATGGTGAAATAATAGTTCAATTAACAATTTTATTGTTAATTGTTAAAAATTTAGTGATTTGTCCGATCATATAAAGTATTGCTTCAATATTTGTAATAAATATAAAACATTAGGCATTAATTAATTGGACTGCTGATTAGTTTAATTAATATTTTGTGCAATATTTTAATTCTATAATAAAGAAATGTACCTAAAATGATTACAAGAAAGACAAAATAGTAGTTAATGCTGAAATAATTTTTGTTTCTAAATAATATTTCTTTCCTGTTATCTTTGTAATACAAAATACAAAGGAAGAAATAAATTTGTATATGAAAAGTAATAACTAACCAACTTCAAAATACCATACCAACTTATAACGATCTACATGTAAGCAATACAGTAAACTCTTCTTCAACTCTTCAATGTATTCCTGAATAGCTTGTATAGTTGGAATACTGTATCCAACGGGTAACTTCCTTTTACGACAATCGCGCCAAAATTTACTCTCAGCTATCGTAATAGTTTCTACAGTATTTGCGTGTAGCATATATTTGCATAAAATTAACATTATATGAAGAAAATTGATAATTATTTGTTGACGGCTATAAATGCGTATCAATGATAATTCATTAAATTCCTCTACTGTATCTTTCTCGAAATAATGGCTTAAATATTCTTCCAAAAAGTTGGCACATTCCTGCAACAATCATAAAAGCTCATAATTATTGCTTAATCAGTTACAATTCCTCACTACTTTTTTACCTACTCCATCCATACTTACCATATTGTCACATATCCTGTCACTGTCTATTCTTATAATACTACCACATCATGCACACTTGCCATATTATTTTGTTGTCATAGCTTTATTTTTGAGGTAAAACATGCTTATGATAGTATATCAATTCAGAACAGATCAGTACTTTGAACACTCGACGGGATTTACTGGAAGAGTTTGAGATAAGATCATTTATAAATGTTTCTATTATATAGTATTGTAAAATGGAATTAAAACAAAAAAAAAAAAAAAGATAAAACAACAAATAACGAAATTTTTTTCTTATATTTTACCTCAAATTTTTGTTCATTCCAATAAAATAACGCAATATCAGCGGTATATTCTGCATTATTTTGATAAGTATTTTTATACAAATCAAAGAAATGTTTTGCAGTGATAAAATCACCTCTTGTCATCATCCAATGTATTGCTGCTATTTTTGATAAATTCTCATGATTTAATAGATCATACAAGCATGATTCGTCCAAAATTCGATGAATGACCAATGAATCAGCTGAAAAGAAAATGTCATTTAAGAATATATCATTTAGCTTTTTTCCTTGAATGAAATTTTTTATTGATATGCTATAACATTTTTTATGTATGTAAGATTTTACTTTCAAAAATTTTGAAAAGACTTTTAGATGGATTTAGGATTAGGAAAAGATGGATTTAAAATCTTAAAGAGATGGATTTAAAACTTTAAAAAAAGTAGATTAGGAATATTGAAAAGTGAGATTTAGAATCTCAAAGAGATGGATTAAAAGTCATAAAAAGGTGGACTTAGGATCTTGAAAAATATCGTTGATCAATTAGATCAACTTACTCCTCATAGCAATATCTTGTATTGCTTCAATTATATAATCTGAAGCACTGCAATTCCATTCAATCAATAAAAGCTCTAATTTAAGCATTTCTTTTCGATTTGTTGATAAGTTTTTTTGCAAATTTTCAAAATTTTGCATATGATACAAAGCTTCTTTATAATTTCTATCATCGTAGTAAGCGCATGCAAGGATATATTCGCATGTGGCCTTCAAATTCTGCAAAATTAATCTAAATCATCATTTAAATACTACATTGAATTATTATTATCTTTTATAATGAAATCCAAAAAAATGTCGAAAAATTAAATTTGTCGTTTTTAAAGCTTAATTAATGTCACTCATTAGCATTTCAGCTATAAAACCTAATAACAGCAAATTTTAAAGTGAAAATTGTCGATAATTTAAATAATGAAAGTAAAATTTGAAATTCCAAGATACATAATGCATTAAAATATAGCAATTAATGGAAAACTTTACAATAATGTTTATTTAATTTGGTAAGAAGAACAATGTAACCTTATCTCGGCAATTTTCCTTTACATCCGTAATATGAGTAATTGTATTACTTATGAAACCTTCTTCCAATTCCAATTTGCCAAGTTCGAACAATATTAAATGTTGCTCATTTGAATGATCCCCCATTGCATTTAAGCATTCTTGAAATAGCATTATAGCTCGTTTCCTTGCATTACATTTCAAATATTTATTTTTCAAATTTAATAACAAATTTAAAATATCGCCGCATTTATTAGCAATACATAGTATTACTGCTTTCTCTAAAAATTTGCATGCTTCCCATAATTTCGATAAATTTGTTGCTATTTCTGCTGATTGTTTCAAAACTTCAACCTGAAAAGAAGAAAATAAGATTCCTTTATATATAGGAATGAAAACAGAAGCATAATTTATTAGCTAATTTATTAGTTTTATTAATTATTAATTCTTATCCAATTAAAAACATAGCATCATAGCTTGTTTTCTTGCATTACATTTCAAATATTTGCTTTTAATTTAACAAATTTAAAATATCATCGCATTTATTAGCAATGCATAGTATTACTGCTTTCTGTAATATATATATATAAGCTTTTATTTTCCATTTCCAATTTAATTTTGTACAATAACTGAATATTGATCTGTGGTTGAATTAAATTGTTATATAATAGATTTTACTAATAATATAACCTGTAAATCAATAGATCCCATTTGTGACAATTGAATTCGATTGCTGCAGAGTCGCATGGTCCAATTAACATCTTTAATCAATTGTTTTTCTTCGATCAGATGTCTCAGTGTCTCACACTTCCCTTCGATATCATCGATATCATCAAAAAATGGAATTTGTTTACAAAAATTGACTAATGCCTGAAACTATTCAAAACAAAAATTTCAACCGTTTAAGTAATAAACTGTTTTTCTGACAATTACAGCGAGTTTTTTATTTCAATTTTTACAAATCTAACTTACATCTCTTACCTATTCATTGATACATCTGCTCAATTATAAAAATAAGTAAAGGAAGAGCAAAAAGTATATACCTTCGATTTTTCACCTATTCCAAGATAGCATTCTGCCATATAACCGTATATTAGGCCACGTTCACGTCGATAATTCGTCTCAGTCGTTAAATTTAATGCTTTAGTAAATATTTTTTTTGCTTCTGTATATCGTTGACGTAGTAATAATGTACGTCCAATTGATATGAATGCATTCAAACGAGCTGTATCTTTTGATAATATGCCAGCAAGTGTCAGGTAACATCTGAATATTCTTTTCATCAACTTTCATAGGTAGTACTTTTTCTAATAAAATAAAACTTTTTAATAGAATTTTAATATTTTTTTATTTAAACAAGCTTTAATAAAATTTAATAGAATTTCTTACTTTTTTCTTTAATAGAATTACTAGAAGTAATACTTTTTTTTCCATAGGTATTTTTTTTTAATAGAATTTAATAGAATAATTATCCGCAAATACTTGACAAATTAAACAATTATTTTAAAGTCTTGATGAAGTTTAATTTGACATTATGGCATTTAATTTTGAAAGTTTTCTTCTTAGGAATATAACTAATTTATTTTATTTGAATTGAAATATTTCGCGTTTAATTTTTCATCAGCTCTTAATAATGAATTTACTGTCAGTTATTTGAACAATTTTTTTTTCTTCTTTTTTTTGAAGATCACCTTATTTATGTTAAAGTTAAACTAGCTACTATTGCTTAGCCAACTTAATTTGAGTACAATATTCTTTTTTAAATTAAATTTTATAATAAATATTTTATCGTAGGCAACAAATATGATTTTAATTTAATTTTAATTCTTAATAAATACTTAATGTTCGCATTTTTTTCTTCATATCTTACACTTTCTTAATTATAATTGTGTAATTGTGCATAAATGTTAATTAGCATTGTTTTGTTTAGATTTCCATTGCATTATTACGCAAGAAATAAATTTAATTATATTGTGCTGCAGAATATTATTACGAGTAATTTGAAATGCTTATCATTAATATCGATTTCCATTTTATCATTTCAAATATTCTAAAAGTACCTCAAACATGAATGACACATATCCATCATTCCTTTCTTGAAATGAATATTTGCCATTGCATTGTATAATTCCAACATACCTTCCAAATCGGACAGTTGTTGACATACACTTAGTGATTGCCGATAATATGCTAATGCTTCGTCCGGATGATATAATAACCAATGTGTTTTGCCCAATTTATTGCATAGCTATTAATTACATTCAGCAATTAATTAACTAATTACATAAATTAATAACTTTTTAAAACTCATATCTATCGCATAATTACATACAATTGCTTGAAAATTTATTTTTAAACCTAAAAATGGCAATCTGTTATCAATTTGATATTGAGAAAATTTATTAATTAAAAACATTGATTTATCGATAATGGTAAAAGATTAATTTAGTTAATCAAATAATAGGATTAAATTATCATCATTTTAAATTCACCACCAATGATACTATAAAATATGAAATTCTTGATACTTGATTTTAGATCGAAAAAGAAAAATTTGTGGAGATTTTTGTTATAAACTAAAAGAATACTTCATTATTAGTACTAATTAGTTAGTTAAGCAATTTTTAATTTATATTTAAATAATTTCAAAAAACTCACAAAATATTGCAAGCAAATGAGAAAATTTATCTTTAAATCAAAAAAAAAAGTGGAATTTTAGTATAAATTCAAAATAAAACTTTAGCTTCTTTTTGAAGATTGTCATCTTCTTGCACTACCATTAAGCAACGATTGTATGCATCGATCGCTTCTTCAAATGAATTGCAATCAAAATAATTATCGCCGCTCATTTCAATAATTAACGCTTGTCGTTCTTCCACTTTATGCTTCAAATATGTTTGTTGTGCTTCATTCCAATGTTTTTGCGCTTCATCCTTAAGCAAAATTTCTTCATTTTTCAAAGTCACATTTATTTTTTTAATTCAAATTCAAATTAATTTTCTTTTTCATTTGCTCGATCCCAATGATTTCTGGTGTGCATTTTGCTTCAATTTGAAATTATTCTTGAAATTCCAAAATTAAAATAGCTCTGCTACTAGCATAATGCTTATAGTATATATATATATATATATATATATATTTATATATATATATATATATATATATATATATATCATCGATAATCACTAATAAGGTAATTCTTGAGACTTTTCACGAACAAACGGAAATACTCAAAAAAGTCACCTTCCTATGCATTAATCGGTAAAACTGATACAAGTCGCTGTGTACATCGATAATTAATGCATAAGCACCAATTTTCTGTGCAAGTTTTGAATTTTCCAATAATGCCATTTCAGCCTGGTCAAATCGATTTGATTTTTGATATAATTCGGCTAATCTACGCAAACCATTAAAACGAATATCTGCAAATCTGCTTTACTGAATTAATTACATTAATCTTAATTGCATTAATTACCCCATTTATCATAAATATTTCACTTAACAGTGCTTTAATTTTAATATACATTAATTGTACATGAATATTGCACAATGAGAAATAATATTACATTCTTTTTTAATCATAGAAATTAATAATGATTGCAGAAGTTATTATATTAATTTTGCTGGAACAGTCTTTTGTTTTCAAATATTTAGCTGCTAGAATGATAAATTTTTTAAAAAGTGAAAATGAACAAACCAACGCCTTGATCAGAAATAAGGCAGCAATATTTTTCCCATAGAATTGCAGCATTCGAATAATCATCGATTGCTTGATAAATATTCGATAAATTCCTAATTGCAAAAAGAAGAAAAATTTGTTATTTCAAAAGATGCAATTTTTAACCTCTAATTGCTCGATTGTGAAAGGTGAAAATCTTATTTTCCAATTTAAAAACAATTTGTAAAAAAATAGTTAAATCAAAATTTGTTTCCAAAAATTTCCAGTGAATGAAAAATGAGACTTCGTAATTTTAATTACCTTAATGCATCAGCTTCGAGCTTCAATGACCTTCTGCTGGTTGCTATTTTCAGCTCTTTTTTGGCCCATGTTCTTGCCATACAATATTGTCCTATAGCCAAGTGACATTCGCTTAAAATGCCAAAATACTCGCCAATCTTAAAATATACTTTATTTATTATTATCAACTGTTGTTATTATTATCCCTATCACTATCGGATTTGTGCTTTAAATTTAATTTTAACAAAAACGTACATTTTCCGCTGTTGTTTTGTTATCTTCAAAATATGTCATTGTCTTTTGTAAGATATTCAAAGCAATTATTGCTTCCTTCCGAAGTAAAAGACATTTGCATTTCAACAATATTGCCAAAGTTTTCTCATCTGTTCCCTTGCCTATCTCTGCTAATCTATTGCAGTAGGCTAATGCTGCTTCACCATCACCCTAAAAGTTAGGAAAAAAAAGAGGAAAACATTATAATATTTCTAAAGAAATATTCCTCCGAAATCTGTGTAAAATATTGAGTTGGATATGAACATTTTCAGTCGCAAAAACTTCAAAAAAAACTTGGAAAGTTGAAAAGGTAAAAAAAATCTATTTTGCATTTATTTATTTTAACTAGCAAAGTTAACTTAAAAATTTAAAAAATATTTGAAAATATTAAGATTGGAGAGAAAATTTATTTCTGAACAAATTGAACACACTTTTTAAACTTGCCTAATTTGATAGCTTACATACCTTAGCTAATGCAAGCTTTACAATTCCGAGAATACTTCTAAATGTTAGAGGTCCGCATGATGCAATAATTTGTGCCGCATATTGATAATTACCAAGTTGAATGTATAAATCAGCAAGATTGAGCCGAAAATCGTTTGCTTCCATGTCATTCTGAATTACCGTGATGAATTTTAAAATTAAATTTGTGCTTAGTTTTGTTTTTGTAAAAAATTTTATTTCTTACGAAAAAAATACAGAAAAAAAAAAATAAAAATGCAGCAAAAATATAGTTTAAAAAAAAATTGCAACTTTTCAAAAAATTTTATTCTGTGAAAAAGCGAAATATCTAAAAAGGAAAGGAGATGAATGATAAAAGCAAGAAAAAACTGCCCAAACACATCTTCTAAATTAATTAAATATAAAATCTTCTATACTTGTCACAGTAATTTTATTATATTTACAAACAGAATTCATTAATTGAATTTGCTTTTGAAGATAATTAATTGCAAGCATAGTTTCATCGTTCAGTAATGCTATTCGTACGATACTATTGTAAATCGTTAATTGTTTCTCGAATTCATCTGAAATAATATTATTATCGAATTAAATCAAATTACCTTTTTCTAATCATTTTGTAATTTTTTAACCAGCTGACAAATGATATTAACACAAAACAATAAAACATTACTATTTCTTTTTTTTGATATAATTTTCATAATTGCTTTAAATAAATATTATTGAAAATGAAATTTTATAAGAGAAAAGTACTGTCAGAATTATCGCTGTTATCAGGAATCATTAATTAAAATAATAATTTTGTTTCTCCCAATATTACATTATCTATAAGGCTTGCTTCAAACAATTGCAAGCATAATTGCTTATTAACCTTATGACTTATTCCACTTTAATCTTCTCCATCATAGGCTGTATATCCATATCATTTTCTAATCACAGCTATCAGTTTTAATTTTAAGAGCAATTAATTTTAAGCACTATTAATGCAAAAGTGAATGTAGAAAATCTTACCAAGTTGCTTACTTATTTCAAGTTGCATTTCTAAATATTTGATTGCTAGTTGATAATTTTTCTGTTGATAATATGCAAATGAAATAGCACCAATTACTGATAGCTTTAAATCTAATGGTGCCATTTTGGCTTCATCCATATCTAATGCTAATTGAAGCAATGCAATTGCCACTGTTATATGGCCAGTGGTCAAATATTCTTGACCAATTATGCTAATAATTAAGAATGAATCCAATTTCACTCCATTCATATCATTTCCAATTTCATTCAGTAAAACTGATAAATGATCTAAAAAAATTTAATATCAACTACATTTGCGTTATTTCAATAGTATTTTCAAATAAAATAAAATTTTAAAGATAATCATCCTTTTTTCTTTGCATATAAACTCATCCAATAAAATGCTATTACATTAATCTTGAGAAATGTACATAAGTGGAGATTAAATATAAATAATTTGAAAATTTTAAGGGCGAAAAAATTTGCATACCTTTGATTGAGCTGTAATATAAGCTATTTTTTAATGCCTTCACTGTTTCAATTCTATTTTCAATTACTAAACTTTGGCAATATGCAAAAATTGCTTTGTCAAATTTTCCAATACCGCGTAAAGCATCGCCTTTCCGGAAATAACCCTAAAGGAAGAAGCAAATTAAACAACTTCAAATAGGTACAAAGTAAACATGAATGATATATTTTTAATTAAATCAATAATAAAAAATTAACCAATTTGCTTATTCTTTTCTGGAGATTTCAAGAACTGAATTTGAAGAATTGAAATTACAAAATTGAGATAATAAATTTTTATACTAGAAATCTATCCTTCACAATTGATTGCTTAATTATTGACGAAATATTGCTTATGTGATATTTTTTGAATTAATTTTTGTTCTAATTTTCTTAATAATAAAGAAAGAGGAAAAGAAAAATAATAGAAAAGACTAAAAATAGAAAATGAAATAATAATGTGATAATATGGCTAACCTTGGCCCATTTCGGATTTAATGCTAATGATTGCTTGGCATCATCCAATGATTTACGGAAACATTTCAAACGAAGAAAGATGGCAGAACGATTGGAATAGAGAATAAAATTAGTGGGATGTAATTGAATTGCTTCATTATAAAGTGTTAAAGCTTTTTCAAAATTTCCATCATAAAATGCACGATTTGCTGCATCTGATAAAGTCATTAATTTATCATGCGGCATTATAGCAATATGATAAAAACAGAAAATATTTCACCTCCTTTAATATTTGGAGCTAAAAAAGGAACAAATAAATGAGCGAATGAATAAATTAAAAAAAATTAAACTGTGTAAATAAAAACTGCAAAAAGTGTTAAATACTTTACTAATAAACAAATACAAACAAATGAACAAGTAAGCAAATAAGTAAATAGTTTAAAGAAAATAATGCAAAAAAAGTTAAATATTTTTATTAGTTAAAACAGAGCAGTAATTGCACTGAATGAACTTAATTACAATATACTTTAATTTTTGACTGTCTTCATTAACTTTTAATTTATTACATTGCATATGCTCTACTTAAATAATATAACTTCTATTGATTGTGAATATATGTTCACTGTAAATGAGATATTTAGAAGAAACTAAAAAGTGTTTAAAAAATTTAAAAAACAGAAAGAATATTAGTTAAATTGTAGAAAACCCTTTTAAATTAAATCTATAATTTTGATGAAAATTTTTGTTTAGACTAAAAGTGAACGATGATCCTCTGTGCATAACAATGGTATAGGATGATAATAAGACGAGCTGTAAAATGTGACAGTTGCGGGTTGGCGTCCTTGTCCTTGACAAAATTGTACACTATCTAATCTTAATTTCCTTGCCTTCCTCATTTTCGTCTTTTACCTCTTTTTTTTATTTTCTAGATTTTCTTTTTTTTTTTTGAATACTTCCTAATCAATTAATATATTTATTAAATTTGAAATATAATACAGATCATCTATTTACTTTTTTATTACTATGTTTAGTAGAATTTTCCCTTTCTTTATCCAAAAATTAGTTAATTATTTAGTGATACTATTTCAAATTACAGTTGTTATTAGTTTTAGAAATATTGGACAATTATATGCTTTTAAATGTATTTGTCCTCCATTTCATATAATTGATAAAAAGAATCTTTCAACTAAAAGGTACACATATCACTGTTATTTTAATATTTTGACATTCAGAAATAAAGGTTTTATCTTTCTTCCTGATCGAAAATAATTATGAATGATGTAGTTTGAAAATAAATTTAAACATTTCATATAGTAGTTTTTATGATGGACTGCGACAAAATTTATTGGATAGACCTCTTTAAAATATATTTTTGAAAATTTAAAACGATTTCTTTCGTTTTCTTTTTCCACTTCTGTGACATCTAGTGTTTTGTTGATTTTTAATTTTGTTCATTGAAGTGTATTGCATTTAATTTGATGGTAATCAAAATCAGATTTCTTTTATTATTAATTTTAATCTAACATTTATTTGCAAAAATATTGCATTTTAAAAAAGACTTGAAAAAATTACATTCCATGTAACGCTGACTATTTTTATAGAACGAAAATTCTTTCAAATATTGTATCCACCAATAAAATATAAATAGCAATGATTTATAATAAAGTATTTTGTTTGAAAAAAAAGATGAAAGGAAAATGATTAATTGAAATGGTAGAGAATATAATAATTAGAGCGATGCTAATTTTAAATAGTTAAAAGAGGGAAAATTTAAGAAAATATACGAAATGATTTGAACAGTTGCTAATAACACATCGAAATAGGAAATGAATAAAAATTCAAATAATTATTTCCTATTAATAATTCAAAACAAATCCACGTATGCTATTTGATTAAACCAATGTCAATCACAGAACAAAGAATAAAGAAATTTTCTTTGCATATTTTTTTTATCTATGCTGAATAAATCGGATGTAAACGTAGAAGACAGAATGAATGAATGATTTCAGTGCAAACGTGAAAGACAGAATGAATGAATGATTTCAGTGCAAACGTGAAAGACAGAATGAATGAATGATTTCAGTGCAAACGTGAAAGACAGAATGAATGAATGATTTCAGTGCAAACGTGAAAGACAGAATGAATGAATGATTTCAGTGCAAACGTGAAAGACAGAATGAATGAATGATTTCAGTGCAAACGTGAAAGACAGAATGAATGAATGATTTCAGTGCAAACGTGAAAGACAGAATGAATGAATGATTTCAGTGCAAACGTGAAAGACAGAATGAATGAATGATTTCAGTGCAAACGTGAAAGACAGAATGAATAATAATCGTTTTCTGCCAAAATGTCGCTTAGTTTTATAATTTCTTTATAAATTAAAAAAAAAAAAACCCTTAAAATGATTGATGCAATAAATAATTTTCAATTTTTAATGTTTTTTTTTAGATTTTTAATGATTTCTTTTAAAATAGTTCCACTTGAAGGAAAAGAGAATGGTTTAAAAGAGTAAGCTAAATGAATGATGAAAGCAGTAGAAGTTAATCATCCTTCTTCTCTTCTTCATTCCTCCCACATCTCACATTATTCCATTCTTTCCTTTCCGCAACGTACGATTAACCTTCCCAACGTGTTTTTTACGTCTTCCTTTTTTTTTTTTTTTTTTTTTTTTCTAAACAGCGAGAATGTTCTTTAAGTTCAAGAATTGCACCATTCCTTTTCTGAGATACAATGATAGTGAAATATTGAAAAGAAATGAGAGACAGAGATAGAGAGAGAGGGGTAAAGAAAGAAGGGAAGAAGAGCATTTTTCACTTTATGTGAATTATAATTAAATCATATTCACTATACAATTTACTCTTACCAACTGTTAATTTTTTATTTTAACTGTCCGGAATCTCAATCCGGAATCTCACTTATTCTATCAAAAAAGGACGATAAATAAGAAATATTGAAAATTTATTAGAGACAGCCATTACTAACGAATTGATTTCGTTGTTGACATTTTCAGCAATGAATTTGATTTGACAAGTTCAGTGGTCACTTATGACCATAGTGTCTGTCATTGATTGGGATGGATGGATAATTTTATTTCATTCACTGCGTTCATTTATCAATCTTTTAAATTATTCCATACATTGTTAAGAATTTATCCGACAACGACGATGATGACAATAACAATGACGAAATTAATAATAGCAATAATCATTAAAATGACGGTGGTGATGATAACAGTTTTGTTAACGATAATGGAAATTATAGGAATTTTGGTAGTACATTGTTTACACATCATTTAATAGTTTGTAATAAAATGCTTTCTCTCACTATCGAATCTGTGATATAGAAAATATTGATTGAGAAATTCAACCATATATTATTCACCACCAATTATTATTATAAATTTTCTATTTGAACTAAAATTTATCGTTTTTCTTTTTTTTTTTTTTTGGAGAAAAAAATACTTTCATACGATGGTATACTTTTTGGGATGAAAGTTTTTAAACCAATCATTGAAAGAAGGGTGAAATTTCTCATTTACTGAAGAATTGAAGAATTGATTTGAAAATTTTTTGAAAATTACTTTTTTGTTAAATAAATTTGTAGGTAAAACTTTTAGTAGTTGATTGCCAAAAAAAAAAAAAAAAAAAACATTTTACTATAGCTTTTTCTTTCTTTCATCTTTCATTTTGTTTCAATTAAAAAATGATGAACAAAAATTGCTGTAAATTTCTTTGTGTAATTTTTTAGTTAACAATAATTCGTTACTTTTAAACTGTGGCTAATTACCAAATGGTAGAAGAAACTTGAAATGATTATTATTTGATTTTGATTAATAATAAAATTGAACAAAAACAATCGGATTTTTTTCTATTTAATATTTGCAAAAGGAAATATTGTTTATACAATTTAAATAATGAAATGAAAAAAAAAAAAGCTTTAATTGATAATTAAACGGAAAAATCTTCGTGCATAACTTATCAAAAATTAATTATATTGCCCATTAGTTTAATGTATTGCTGCTTTATTTCATGCTGATAATATTATTGTCGTTTATTTTTCAAATGATTGCTCAACAATTTTTGTGACATATCAAATGCTGCAAACTTTTATAGTTTAAAATTTTTAAACTTTAAAAAAAAAAAACTATTCCAGTGAAAACATCATTAGAGTGTCCTCTCGTTAACATCTGATATTTTCATCGGGTATTATCGAAATGCAAGTTTTTCGTCTTTTTTATCATCATAAGTTAGCTCATTTACCTGAAAAATGAAAAAAAAAAAAAACGACAGAATGGTCAGGAATAATGAAAGTAATGACTGATGTTTTTAATGAAAGAAAAATTTTAATTCTTTTGACACTTTTGATATTTTTGATATTCATAGCAAGTTTGTCACTTCAACATCTCATCATCATTATCATCGTTACTATTCTTAATTTATCAATAATTGTAATAAAATAGAAAAATTGTCAAAAATTTAAAATGTTTTTCAAGAAACATTGCACAAATAAAAAAAAAAATATTTGCTTCAAATTTTGAAATTTGCTTTTCTGAAAATTTTTCTTTTCCACAAATACATTTATAAACTTAAAAACTTCATTTATTGGACTATTGTAAACGGAAACAAGGAATGACACATTAATTAGTAGTAAATAACATGAATTAACTTTATTAAAATCCTCAAATTGTTATTTAATTTGTAAAAGATAAAAAAATAAAAAAAAGTTATGGCTAGTGTGAATTATGTAAATTAAAAAAGTGTAAATTATATTACTTTGGATGTTATTAAAATAAAAAATTGAGGACACTTTATTTTTAAATTTAAAATCAGCGAAAATATTTGTTTTGCACATTTCTTCTACACATTTTTTCAATTATACAACAAAATGGTATTTGATTTCATAAAGTATATTCTGTTTTTATTCTGCTCTGTTTATTTTCCTTTTCTCTTAAGTTACTGAATTCTTGCAACTAGTAGAAAAAAATAAAATTATTATTTTTAAGCATAATCTACAAATTAGTAAATTTCATAAAATGCTATGACAATAATAAAAAAAAATAGTATACTCGATACTTGTAATTGAAAGTATTTAAAATAATATCAATATTTGTTATAAGAAGGTGCACTTATATAAATTTACTCATATTTGCTAATCACTGGTTGGAAAAGTTAAAAAGAGACGAAGGAACTATTTTCCGTTCAGTACATTTCATTATTGTTAATTAATTAGGATTTTCGTTTGCTAACTCATCCATCCATTAATACATAATGAGTTGTTGTTGTTTCTCAACTTTTATATTGTCAACGAAGATGACTTAACAGCTGACATCATTTGCTTAAATTTTATAAGTTAACAATGACTGATCTATTTTGTTGTTTACAAAAAGAATTATCTCTCTTATTTTATTTCTCAAACTACTGCTATTTCATTTTCCCTTTTCTTTTCGGAAAATAAACTGATTGCCAAGAAAAATAATTTAAATTAAAGATGTTAAGAAGAAGAGAGAAAGGAAGCAAAAAAATTGAAGAGAAAGAGGGCGAGAGAAAAAAAGAGATCTTTTTAAATCTTAAAAAGTTAAATGTAAAAATCTTTTCCACCTCTATAAGTAAGCATCAAAGCATCAAAATGTTCCACACTTATCCATTTATTCATTTATTCATTCATTCATTCATCTATTCATCAAATCATTCAGTCATTCATTCATAATTCTACTTGTTAAGCTGTTGCTTACATACATACACACACACACACACACACACACACACACACACACACACACACACACACACACACACACACACACACACACACACACACACACACACACACACACACATATGCATACATACATATACACAACTAATTACTGCTCATTTACATCTGGTGAATTTGTTAGCATTCATTTTCCTTCCATAAATTCTTCTTCACTTGCACATTATCATTATCATTGTCATCATGTCACTACCAGCACGTTTCTTACCATTATTATCATCAACATCGCTCATTATTATTATCATTGTATTTATCATTTATTATTATTATCGTTTGTGCTATTACCAATGGCTTACTTGTCGAGAAAAGCACTCAACTCACTAATGAATAAGATAACAATATTATAAATTTTTAGTCTTAGTTCTTATTGCTAGTGATGCTACTGTCAATAATGGTAATGATAATAAATAACAATACCGATGGTAATAACAGTGCTGAATGTGTTGTTTGCCTAATCGCAATTTGTAATAATACAACTGTCATTAATAACGGTGATGATGATAAAGACAATGATACTGATAACAATGATCAGTATATGAAAGTGATAATGATAATTATGCAATTATTTTATTACTACTATCACGATCATTAGTATTATCATTAATGTCAATGTTGGTACTTTCAATGATGATGGCAATAATTACAATGATAATAACGATGATAAATATATCATTTAATCATTAACGAAATTGAAAAAAAAAAAACTAAAATCAAAGAAGAAGCATGAAGATAACAACTTTGTTAAGTAATCATATGTAATACTAAGTATTCATTATTAATTTTTTTTTCCAATTATTTAGCAGATTTTAGTCATCTTTGAATGAGTAGAAGGATAAAATTAGAGTTATCTGCATTAACAATATTTAAATGAATAGCTTCGAAGAGATAAATTTTTGTTTTTTTGCTATTAAAAAATTGCTTTCATTTCAAGTGAATTTGAACATTCCATCAAACAATCCTTCTTTGATTTATTTTATTAGCAAAATTTCTCGGAAATCTTCATCATGGGATGTGGTTCATCGCATCGAAAACTTCACGATCCATCACCTTATGCACCACCGACTGAAATCTGTAAGTTCAGCAAAACCTTTCATTCCATCCCTGAAATGCTCTTCTAATTTTAATTCAAAATGAAGAAATTATTCAATTCGTAATTACTGCTAGTTTAATGGTTAAATATTCTATGTGTATGTAAAAAAAAGTGATTTCAATTTATTTTATAACATAATATTAATGTGGTGGAAGTATTTTAAACTATAGCTTAAAATTTCAATCTAAAATAAAACTTCTAATATGGTTTACACCTGATTAGATTAATAAAATATATTATGATGATAGTGTACCTTATGTCTAGTTTTGTTTTACATCGCACTTTTTTAAGTTTCAAATTTAAAGTTCAAAGTCCAATTCAGATTTAAAAATTCGCACTTAAACTATAAATACTGCCTTATTTTTTCCCATAACTTATTTTTTGCAAAATTTTAAGCTTTCACTTTGCACAGTGGTTGGCTACATTTTGAAATAAATGAAGTTTCAAAACTAAAATAAAAAGCCGTGAAGAATTTAATATTGCATCACTTATTTGAGTTTTCGTTCTTTAAATTTCACTTTACTTGCTCTTTTTATCTTTGTTTTATTTTAGTAAAGTATTATTACTAAGATTATGTCTGTCATATCTCCAATTTTTCAAAAAAAAAAAAAAAAAAAAAAAAAAAAGATTATCAGTTGAAAAGTTAATAAGTTAAAATCTTCAAGAAGAATTGAGATTATGTTAAAATCTAAAATTTTATGATAAAATCTTAAAGCGCTGCTGAAACTTGTTTCATAATTTAAATGGCATGGATTGGCAAAGTGATTTAAAATTAATTTTCAGTTATTGGAACTTTTTATGTATTACAAATAACTTCTAGCATACTAATTGAAGAGTTAAATCTTAATTTGTATTTCTTTTTGGAATAAGTTATGGACAGATTAGAGATTAAACTGATACCTCTAAGAAGTGAACGTATCTTTGAAAGTGACAGTAGTGCGACATCTTTTTTTCAATATTTTTATTGTTGCTATAATTTCCGCAATGAAAATATTTCTTATTTCCGGAAATATTGCAAGTGATTCAATACTTTAGTTGTAAAATTTATCATTCCGTTTTGTTTTAAGTTAAAATTTAAAATAAAAATTTGAAATAGAAAAGTGCATTCTTTAACTAGTTGAAAACTTTCTACCAAAACCACACACACTGTGTTCATTCGTGAAAAGAAGACTTCATGAAATTGTCATATTGCTTCATCTGAGAGATATGTGATAAATTACAATAATAATAATAAAAAAAAAAAAACTCTTCAAAAAAACAAAAATTTTAATTTTAATTATTGGAGTAACTAATCGATCATTGCATTTTCTGAAATATATTTTTTCGACTCCCGAAAAAGCTAAAAGTTGAAAAATTAGTCAAAAGAGAAAATTTTAGTGATGCATTCAAACCCATTATTACCATTACTTATTTATTATCATTATTTTTATTATTCGTAATTATTTATTTATTACTATTATTACTTCATACATTTTGATTTAATTAATCAATGAAGTTGTAAAATGGATTAATTTCTTCCTTCTTTTCACGTACAGCAGTACCATGCCCAAAGAGAGGAAATATTTCTTTGAGTCACTTAGCATAGATCTGATTGCTTTTTTCATTGTTCAAAGTCTTACGTATAATTATTCCTTTAAATTCTCTCATCTTTCTGCCCGAATCAATAGGGTTTTTATAAAACTTGGCAATTTTTTTTGCAACTTTTATAGCGAAATTTGAACTCGAAAAAATAGCAGTCGGATTGTTAGGTAAAACTTCAATTACTATTTCAGTTGGTAATTTTACTTTTAAAATAGTTGACAGTACAAGTGAATGTATGCAGAACATGTTGCAAAAGAAATAAATGCAAATAAGCTATATGAGTTATTGTAGAATATATGGTAGGCAGAGATTTTATTTGCATAGCTTTTGGTCCTATCATTAGGTTTCTACTAAGTTCATCTAGGCTCTGAGAATCTACTTTAGTGAAATTTATAATTGCAACTTTAACCTTTCGTCAATTAAAAAGTTATCATTAGCCAGGAAAACTAATTAAGTCTCCTATCGAGGAGATGAAGCATGCGACATCATAGGTAAACATGCTTTTCTCTTCGTTATGCTTTGCTTCCTTTTGTTTATTAAGCATCCTTCTTATTTCATCAATATATTAACCGAGAAAATTAATTCCGAAAACTTTCGAAGAAATCAGGAAAGAAACAATTTGAAGAAAGAAAAACCAAAATAAAAACATTATTCAAATGATTTTCATCACTTTGTGGTAAATTATTAAAATATATGACAAAAAATGAATAATAATAAAAAAATGAAATTAAATGAGGCAACAATAATTAGTTTTTTTTAATTTTGTTTTGCTTTTTTTTTCTGTTTTGTTATTATTTACCTTCACTTTAAAAAAAAAAAAAAGAGAAGAAATTTTTTTGTTTCTCATTAATTTCATTTTTTTTTTTGAAACCATTTTATAATTTATAATCTTTTTTTTTGGAAAGCAAAAAATTCTTTCCAGCGATAAAAGCTGCCATCTTAATTCAAAAATGGTATAGACGTTGCTTGGCACGTCTGGAAGCACGTCGTCGTGCAACGTGGAGCATATTTACAGCATTAGAGTATGTCGGTGAACAGAATCAATTAAAGGTGACTTAATTCTTTTTCGAATTTTTTTCAAAAATAAGGAAGCATTTTGTTGCAGTTGTACAATTTTTTCAGCGAAATAATCGATACATTGAATGAAACGGAGGATAAATTGCACCATTCCGCCATGCTAACACACGGTTGTCATTTTTAGAATTGATGATGTTAAAGTAAAATGAAAAAATTAAAATGATGGGAGAGGAGAAGAAATAACGTCGGAAAGTTCAATTTTAACTGATAACACTATAAACTTTTATATCTTAAACTTCACTGTATAAGATTTAAAAAAAAAAAAAAAAAAAAATTAGTTTATATATACTAATAAGAAAAATCTTGTTAAAATTTAAAACATTTTATGTTAATTTTTATTCCATTATTCTATTTCATTTTTTTCGATTAGTTGAAAATGAATTAGACTTTATATTTAAAATAATTTTTTTCTATTATTTTCGATATTTTTTTTTTTTTTTTGATCATAGAATAAGCAGCTCATTGTTGAAGCAGAAAAAAAATGAGAACGTTTTGCTGGAAATTAGTGGAAAAGAAAAAAATAAATATTAAAATTAGAAATAAAATTAGATTTAAAAATTTGACTTTTTCTAGTTTTACTTATGTTTTATTGATGAGTGAAGAATTCGCTACCATATTACCAAGATAAATGATAGGAAATGAAACAGCGGATGAGAAGAGATTATTGGAAATGACCCGACCAGAATCATTCAAAGTCGAGAAAGGCTACAAAGGCCCCAATATTTCATTGCCGCTCAAAAAAATTCACATTGAACAAATGATGGATGCATTTAAAGATAATAAAGTAAGCATAATACTTTAAATAAATTCTCAATCTTTTTTTCCTCCTTTTCTTTTTCTTTTTTGAAGAAAAAAAAGTGCTAGATGTTCAATTGTTTGATGAAGGAAGTAATATTATAATCAAATATGAAATTTATATTCAATTTCAAATTTTACCGACAATTCAAACAAATTAAAATTTAAATAATGCGAATATTAGCATTTATAATGTTTGCAATGAATTAAAAGAGAAGAAAGATACAATTTTAAACAGAAAAAAAATTTCTAAGTTTTATTTTGCTGAGCTTTTTCTTTTATTTTTGATTTCAATTTTATCAACTTTCCAAAACACATTGACATGAATTTATACTAATTTATAGCTAATGATTAAGTAAATAATCATTAACATTTTTAGATAATGCATATCAGTTACATATTATTGATATTACATGAAGCTCGGCGTGTATTTAAAACGCTTCCAACAGTTGTTGAATTATCTACGTCTCTCTCAAAACAAATTACAATCTGCGGAGATTTGCATGGAAAATTTGATGATTTATGTATTATTCTTTATAAGGTGTATCCTTACAATAGTTATACACAATAATAATAATAATAATTATTAATAGAAATAAAATAGGAAGTCTTTAGAATGGTTATCCATCGATTGATAATCCATACATATTCAATGGCGATTTCGTTGATCGTGGTACTCAGTCCATAGAAGTATTCGTGGTACTTTGCGCACTTGTCATCTTAAATCCGTCATCAGTAGTGTTAAATCGCGGTAATCATGAAGATCATATTATCAATCTACGCTATGGTTTTGTGAAAGAATTAATGACAAAATATAAGGTATAACAAAATAGTAAAAAGAAAAAAGTAGTTTGTGATGAATAATCAGTTTCAGTTTTAAAGTAAATATTAAAAAAAGAATATTTCAGATTCATTATTTCTCATTTTCCTCTTTATAAATGATATATATGGCATTTATAGTTTAATGGAAGTTATTAATTAGGAATGCTTACATAGCAGACTAATAAATATTTTACTTCATTTCATAAAATATTAAAATTGGCATAAAGTTAGAATTTAGAAATCAGCAAATGCATTAGTGAAATTACTGGATGATATCTTCTCATGGTTACCACTTGCAACAGTTATTGATAATAAAATATTTGTTACACATGGTGGTATTTCGGATACAACAAACTTGGATGAACTTAAAAATTTACCTCGGTATCAGGTAAGTTATTAATTTTCAGAAAAGTTTCAAATAAGCAGAAACGATGAAGAAAGATGAAATAACATAAGCGATTAAGAAAGTTTAATAGATCAAGAAAAGGAAATAAAAAATGTGACTAATCAAAGGAGGGAGAGATTAAATAGGAGTAATTAGTTAATTTGAGATTAAGTAAAAGTAATCGATTAGTGACTAATATGATCGATCGTGAAATGAAAATGAAGTAAATTTAACACTTTTTTTCTTCTTTCAATTTCTGATTGTTTTAAAAAATGAAATTCCAAAGAATAATCCATTTTTCTCAGACTTTCTTCACGAAATAAACTTGCTTGCATGCTGTCTTTGTTTCTTCTGTTTCTTTTGTTTGTTTTCTTACTTATAGTATGGATCAGTGCTCAGGCCACCGCATTACTTTGTTGGCATGCAAAGGAAAAGTGTTGATGATAAAGAATGGAAATTAATTTTGGATATATTATGGAGTGATCCAAAAGAGCAAAATGGTTGTACGGCAAATGTTTTCCGAGGTGGCGGAACATATTTTGGTCCCGATGTTACTCGAACATTTCTTGAAAAGTAAGCGCAATTTGGTTTTAACAAACGAAAATAATTCTTCTAATCTAAAAACATCTCTGCTTTGAATCCATTAAAATTTCATTAATTTAATATAGTAATAAAAATTTACTACTTTGAAGGATTAAATTGAAAGTAAAATTTTTTTAAAATAATATAATGGACAAGAATTAAAATTAAATCAAATAACTGCTTATGTAACATGAATGAAGTAGTGAATTTTTATTTTTACATTGAACTGTGAGCTTTTTTTTTTTATTATCTACTGATTTATTTATTCATTGTTTACATAATTTATGCATTTCATTTATTAATTTTCCATTGGTTTAATAATTAAATTATTGTCAAAGGCATCAATTGGATATGATTGTTCGATCGCATGAATGCAAGTATGAAGGATATGAATTGACACATAACGACAAAGTATTAACTATATTTTCCGCATCAAATTATTATGAATATGGTAGTAATCGAGGTGCATATGTTAAATTTCTTGGTGCTAATCATGAACCACATTTTGTACAATATCAAGCAACCAAGGCACATCGACAAGTTATTAGTGCAAGAGAAAGGTTAAATTATTTTTTTCTAAAAAAAGAAAGCAAAAATTTATTTTAGTTTGTTAGCATAAAAAAAGATTAGATTTTTTTTTAAAAAAGGTATTTTATTAAATCAAAAGTTAACATTTTTAAAATTTGAATACTATTATTATTAATTATTTTGTTATCATTTGTAATAGTTATTAAAAAACAATTTAAAAAAATCTTTATGTTTTGTTGTTTGCATTTTAACAAATAGAAAAAATTGTCCGTAAAATATTTTGAAAAGATAACTAACAATGAATATACATATATAGCAAATATTGGATTTACTACTAGTTTATAAATAAACTAGTATTAATTACTGGTTTATAAATAATTAATTCTTCCATACAATGATAGAAAAGAAGAATCAGAGTTTTTAATGAAGGATAAAATTATAAGTTTAGGATTGATGCTGTGGAACAATCAGCTATGCAAAATTTACGAGCACAATTGGATGTATTTAATAAGCAACTACAAAATGAATTTGAAATTTTGGATCCATTAAATACTGGTAATTCTATTTGAAATTAATTAGCAAAAGTTAGTGTAAATAAGAAAAAAAGAAATTTGATCAATTTAAAATAAATGAAAATTCAATGAATATTTTGGTTCAGTTTTATCAAAAAAAAAAGAAAGACTTTTTATAATATTTAAAAATTTATCAAAACCATTTACTGATGTGCAAATATTTGAAATTTAAGGTGAAATTTCCATCCATAAATGGTGCAAATGTGTGGAAAGTATTTCTGGCCTTAGTTTGCCATGGTATTTACTAGCTCCACGACTTGTTACCGTAACTGAGGATGGTAAAAATGTATTATACAAGCAAAATTCATCAACTGTACAAATTTTTAGTGGTGATAAGAAAATAATGCAGGTGGAAAATTTTTAATTTTATTTTTAATATTTAAAATTCTAAAAATTATGGATTTAAAAAAAGATTTTTTTCAACGAGAAACAAAATTAATATCAGTTGTAAAATGATAAAGTTTTGGAATAACTAACAGCAAACAAACAAAATTTCTTAATTAGTAAAAAGAAATTATAATATTTTATAACACTCTAATGCATCGCTAATTCAGAAGAAACCACATGTGATAGAAACATTATACAGACATAAAGATTCTCTCGAAGCAATATTTCGCTTTATGGATAAAGTAAAATTATTCCATTTTTTTTTTTTTTTTTTCAAATTACATATTCTAATACCGATCAATTATTAATTTTTATTATTTCTTGTAAGAAATATTTTAATAAACATTTTTTCGAAATGTTTGATTAATTCGATTAATTTCAATGTTTCATTTAAAACACAAATAATTGAAAATTTTTAGGATAACTCAGGCTTTGTATCTGTGGATGAATTCATCGATGCATGCAAAATTTTGGGCCAATATACTCGTAATCCACTAAAAATACCTCATTTGGAACAAATAGCGGAAAGTATTGATTTTAATAAGGATGGTTATATTGACTTGAATGAATTCCTGGAAGCATTCCGTCTTGTTGATCAAGGAACTGAATAAATGTGGTCGCATTTATCATATTTAGACTACCTAATATGATGCTCATCAATCATCCATTCAATAATTTATTGATTGAATAAATTACTGATTGATTTTAATTTTTGTCTTTTTAAGTAAATGAAATATTTTTGCTAATCCCAGCAATTCCAATAATTTATTTCTATTTTTTTCAATATCTGCAACGAATAAAAAAGAGTGAGAAAGTGCTTGTAAATGAAATCACCGATGTTTTATTGATACACATAACACATTGATTATCGATCAGACTTTCTTTTCATAGAAACAGAATATCGATTACTCATAAAATCATCAAAATATTATTCCATCTAATATCATATCAACGTTCGATGCAGTAATCATTAATTGATTGGATTGTCGTTCAGATGTGCGTGTATGTGCGTATGTGTATGTATGAATGTATGTATGTATGTATGTATGTATGTATGTATGTATGTATGTATGTATGTATGTATGTATGTATACGTGTGTTTAACGGCCAAAATGGTCGGAATCGTTAGAGTGGAATACCTAAATACACGCAACCGAATAGAAATGTATCACACCTGTGCTGTATTCACCTGAATGTACGTCATTGATTCGTTAAAAACAAAAGGGAATGATAAATTTTAAAACTAGCGTTATAATATTGAAATCACTTGCAATATTTCCGGAAGTAAGGAATATTTTTTCATTGCGGAAATTATAGCAACAATAAAAATATTGAAAAAAAGATGTCGCACTACTGTCACTTTCAAAGATACGTTCACTTCTTAGAGGTCTCAGTTTAATCTCTAATCTGTCCATAACTTATTCCAAAAAGAAATACAAATTAAGATTTAACTCTTCAATTAGTATGCTAGAAGTTATTTGTAATACATAAAAAGTTCCAATAACTGAAAATTAATTTTAAATCACTTTGCCAATCCATGCCATTTAAATTATGAAACAAGTTTCAGCAGCGCTTTAAGATTTTATCATAAAATCTTTAGATTTTAACATAATCTCAATTCTTCTTGAAGATTTTAACTTATTAACTTTTCATCTTTTTTTAAAAATTGGAGATATAAGAGATATAACATTAGCAATAACATTTTCTCAAGCAAACATAAATTACTTTGATTTGTAGAATATTTTGTATCGATAAATTTCCAAATCGGTTGATGCATATTTTATACATTTAATTATAATTACAATATTATTCACCAACTCAACTTTATGCATTAACTTATACACACCGTGGTACTGAGGTACCACTGTGCTACCTCAAGTACTACTCCTCCTTATTTGTCAAGTACCCATGTTAAGGCACCCCACACCAAGCACCTTACGTCACGCCAACTCATCAAAAAGGTAAGACTTACCTTTTTGGCAACTGAAACCTAAACCCAATCAGATGATCGCGTTGAAAACGGTCACTTTTTAACAATTTTTCAAGTTTTATTGCTGAGAAGCGCATTCCGGATTCTCATTGTTGGTAGTGATGGGTCAGTTTCGGGAATTCTTAAGAACTGTCTTTGTTGGTGTTAATCTTTCATTTACGGATAATTTCATTTGCATGAAATAAAATCTGTTGAATTTTGATTTCTTCATTTTTCTAGAGAATGACGAAGTTCACGGAGTAGGATCGTTTGTTTGATTGTCATCCATTTTTCGGTGATATCTTTTTTTATGTGTTTATAGGAGATGGAAATATTTCGATGTAGAATGATACTACATGCAAGGCGACTGTGGGTATCACCACATTTCATGAAAGGTCATTCGAAATGGGATAACATTAAGGATACTAAGGTTTATTTGCATATTACTTTTATTGTTTACTGTCCATATAATATGACAGTATATGATATAATATGTCAAGTATATCACTTTATTTGCACTTATGTCCCAATTGTGTTGAACTGTCTCAAATTTCTGTTTTCAAATTGGAATTTGATTGGTTGTAATAAATCTAGAAAAATTTAGTTAATTAAAGATATAATTATGATTATACTACAATTAAAGATGCTTCTATAAGCTCATCTGATGGTTTTTGGCAAAAATTTTCAAGATGCGGTATAATATGTCATATCATGTATATCACTTTATGTTGCATTTATGTCCCAACTGTGTTGAACTGTCTCAAATTTCTGTTTTCGATCAAATCTTCAAGATGCGATCAAATCTTAATTTAAAAAATAAAAAATTAAAGTAATCATTAGAATGTTTCAAATTTCTCTCTTTATGTGTCTGTTAAATATTAATACGTTTGAGTAATTCGAGTTGATATTAGCTTGCAGCTATGGTTAATAAAACAAAAACAGCTGAACAATTAATGGCTAAAATGAAACGAATTGTTCGAACTGGTGGGCCTGATCTCAAATTCAACAAAGATTTAGTACAATTGCAGTTGGAATATAGGAACGCAAACTTTCCTGATGAAACCTTTCAACGTGCTTTAAAGAATGTGCAAGTAAGAATCTTGTATTGTAAAAATAATTTTTTTGAAGGAAAATATTAACGTAACCAGTTAACCATTTCGATTATGTCTAGTAGAAATTATGCTAATATTCGTCAAGTATTTACTACAATATTTTAAGGCAGTTCATAAAGTGGTTTTAAGTATTAATTTAGCTTGGAATCAAATTTTTTTATAATGCATCTTTTTACCGTAATATCTTTTTATCATTTTGCCGTAATATCTTTTTATCATTTTACCGTAATATCTTTTTATCATTTTACATTAATATTTATCTATTGCGCTTTTTCATCTCATACTTATTGATAGAAATAAAATGTTCCTCTATATATGATTTCTTGGTAAAGAAAATGATTACAATTGCAGTCTTTAAAGAAATATTTGCTTAAATATTATAATCGTTCATCGTTATAATTTGCTAGTTCAAATTACCGTTTTCTATTCTAAAACTAACAAACTGCTGTTCAATTAATACCGAAAAAGATGTAAAAGAGAATTGATATTAAATGTTATATGATTCAGTCTATTTCAGTTTTAAGCATGCAATATTCATATTCCTTTTACTTATTCTAAGTACTTTAAATTTCTTATGTATTTACTGGACTGTTGAAAATTTTTTCTTTTTATTCTAGCTCCAGCCAGTAAAAACAGCGAAAATTACTTTGCTCGGACCTTCTGGATCAGTTTTTATCATCGAATCGGAAGGTTTATCACAAAAAAAACTGCTAGAGTTTCTTACAACATCTGTATATAAGGTATTCAAAAACAAGATATTTCAAACAAGATATTTTTTTCTTGTCAGTTTTTTTTTTTGTCAGTAAAGTGATCTTTGTAACAACATCTGTATAAAAGCTTTGTCTGTTTCTGTATAAATTTTTTTTGTGTAAATTTTTCTGTATAAATTTTTAAAATCCTAAATTATACTACTAACTTCGGTTTTCTTATTTTATGGATTTGGTTTTCAGATTGGCGATGGATTTCAATTGTCAAAGAATGATTATAGCCGAAGTTTTGAGGACAAAGGTGTTATTATCGTTAGTGCTATTAAGGCCAATAAAACATTATCATTAGATGAGGTTATTGACACTTCCATTTCGTATATTTGGTGATGTGCGATTTTTTATTTATAAACATTAGATTGAATGTCGAAGATGTTATTTATTGCTTTTCAGAATTCTATCAATTTCATTTACTTTTTTATAATCAGTCTGTAATTCAGATTGCTAATCCTTATTGGCAATTTCAGTACATTATAATGTGAACTCTAAAACAAAGTTTTTTTTTTTTTTTTCGTTTTTATTTACTTGTAGAATTCTTGTAAGATTTTATTATTTAGATGGAAGAAATCTGTATAGAATTGGATTGCGATGATGTCAATAAATTTGAAGAGGATGGAGCAACATTTTATGAATTAGTTTGCGTACGAAAGAAATTTGCTCAATTATTGGCTATTGTTGAAAAAGAAGGCTTTAGTGTTAAATGTTCTGCTTTGGAACTACGTGCAGTCAGTCCGGTTGAAATAGAGAAACATGAAACAGAAAAGGTACGGCTATTTTGCTTAGTTGCAGCTGTTGTTTTATTTGTTCTCTAAAACTTGTTTCTGATGCATGAAATAGGAATTTTACTTTCATTTTTTAGATCATTCAGTTGTATCAAATGCTACGGGAAAATGAAGGTATCACTCAAGTTTACGCCAATATAAGGCCAAATTCTATACCGATAAGGCCTGTCAAGTTAAAAGTTGCAACACAATGACATTTGATGGTTTGTGCCGGGTGAATGATTTATCTGTGCTTCAGTTTGTATAATAACTATTGATAAATTTATTGATATCATGACTATGAATAAATTTATTGATTTATATTACTGTGCGAATTTTATTCTTATTTAAAAAAAAAAAAAATCCAACCAATGATTTTCAAAACATTTATTGATTCAAAATACGAAAAAATAATGTCTAAAACTCTAGAAATTTATAAGAATACAGTGGATGACAACGTATAAGATTCATTGCACATAATAAATTATGTGAGCTAAATTCAAATCAAATAAATGAAAGATTAGAATATTTTATCCTTGTTTTGAAAGTGAGGAATGTCGCAATTGAATGTCAAATTTTAGCATTAAATTTAAAATTTGCAGTAGGATAACAAGGAAGTAAGACCGTAGTTGAAGAAAAAAACAGATTCAATTTAGTTTTTTAAGGAACATACATGATTACTCTAATACGATAGGGTAAATGAGGGATGAAGCATCTCCTAATCTTTAAAAGCGAGACAGATTTTGAAAAGGATCAAATCGCAAATTTGAAAATCGGACTAATTGGCATCGAGTAAACAAAAAAGTACGATATAGCACATAACAATTAGTTTAATATGATTATGTGAAGCAAATATATTTAGCAGAAGTTAATTGTTATATAAAAAATATTTTTCTCCTTGGTTTGCTGTTTTTTCGAATCTTAGACGGACCGCAGAAGCATGCGCGTAACGTTGGACCTTCTGCTGATCCTCGACAAAAACAGGACTGTACCTTACGATTACCATCCCTCCAACATGCATTTTGGCATGATTGCATGATGCATCGATCCAAACTTCCAAAATCACTAAACTGATTCATTGTTACTTTCCATTAAAAATTTACAAATTATATTTAATAATTCATTTTATGGTAGGTGATACGATATGATATATGTGATCTGTTATGATCTGATATATATGATGATACGATGATTGATATGATACGTGATGTGATATGATGACTGATTAAGATGTGATCCATTATATGATACATAATACAGTACGACACGTATGATGATACGATATATATCATTTTATTGTTATATAATACGGTATTATATGGTACGGTATGATGTGATATAATATGATGTATGATATGATATAACATATAACATATTATATATTTTATGTAATATAATAACAAAATAAACAATGAATGGAGTATTGAACTAAAATAAATGAGGTAAGACAAAATTAAAAGAGAAGAAGTTAGGAAAGAGTCCAAAATAGATTAGTTAACAAATATTTCAATTTCTGTCATAAATTCAAATCTTAGTAACATTTCATTTTGATCATTCTAATTAGCAAAATCAACAATGTTTCAAACAAATTTAAAAAAAAAAATTAATCTTCACTATCTACTAATTCATTAATTGAGTTGAGCTAGTCATTTAAGTTCTTTACATCAGTCGCTAATGCTTTTCATTTCCGAGCTATGCTATCCTTATCTTCCATTTCTCTTCAAGCATATTGTAATTTCATATTATAATTCAATTATTCTTTATCAATATAAATTGTTATTCCTAGAAAGATACTTAGCAATGAAATGCTGCTTAAAATTGAAGAATAAACTTACCAAGGAAGTGTTATGTGAGAGCTACAAGTAGCTTTACAGCTTTGAAATGTTTTAGAATTCTTTACCAATGTCGGTTGAGATGTCACATTCCGCAATAATACAAATATAATTATAGATGATAAAATGACAACGTTATTTTCATTGCTACACGATGATGACACTATCATTTGAAAAATTATTGCTGCAGCTGTTGTTGTTGCTCTTATGAAATATAAAATTTAAATTTATAAATTAATGCTAGCAAAACAAAGGAGGGGGTAAAGAGATCAGCATAAGACGAATAATAGATTTCGTTAACTAATATCAGTTGTAAATGAATGTGCACAATGTCTCTTCCACATAGGGAAGAGGGCTGTTTATATTATTTAATAGTTGTAATTCGGAAAAAGGGCACTTGCAATTAAAGATAATAGAAAAGATTTAAAGATTGGTTGAGAAGTGCTATTTGATACTCCGATAAACATCAATTATTTCTGGTGATACTTTTGCCTGCAGAAACTCTCGAGAACAAGTTTTAATGAAAATCTTTCAGACATTTACTTAATCGAACAAAGGCAGAAACGAGTACAGGTTACATAAGGAACTGGTCATCTGCATCACTTGTGAAGCAAAAGCTGTTCCACTGATTAATTAATTCTTATCATTCTTATCGCAAATAGTTAATTCGTATCACACAATTGCAATTCTCAAATAAGCAAACTTTTTTCTTCCTTTTTTATTTAAACTTTTTTCGTAATTTAATTATATAATAAATGATAGTAAATAATAAATTTGCTAAAATACATTTTAATTTATATTTCAAATGCAAAGGCAAATAAATATTTTATTCATTTATTAATGAAATTGGTGAGCACTATTTTGTGAGGAAATAAAATTTTAATAACTAGATAATACCATATGGTATTATCTAGTTTTGTTTTAGTGAATTGTGATTTTTTGACAAAAAAAAAAAGGAAAAACAAACAAATAGAAGCAAAAGACTGTTTTTTTTTTTTCAATAATTCTTTCACTTCTTTTCTTCCATATAATTTTTCCTAATTTTTTCTCTTTTAAAATAATTCACTTATTTTCGTTTTTGAATAAATTCAAATAATTCTCGTCGTTGCCAATTCTTTTCGTTTCTTTTTTTTTGCTTCGTGCAAATTTTACACGGAAGTTAACATCTCTTGAAAGCTTTTTTTTTTTTTTTTTTTTTTAGATAACATTTCAAATTATTAAACCGAAAACTAGCATATCAAAAAGCTCCATCCATTTTCGAAATATACACCGTCCAATATCTAAAAAAAGAAGAGTATTTTAACTTGTTTTTAACGGAATAAATTTAATGATAATTCAATGTGCTCTGCGACATTTTTTTAGAATAATAAAAAATTTATATTACATAACTTTAGTTTCATCAATTAAAATTTTGATAAAAAAATTTTTTTGGCAAATTATTCTAAACAAAGCATTGCAAATATGTTTTTCTCCTTGGTCTTTAAAAAATTTTTGAATCGCGAATAATTTAAACACTTCTACATAAGTATACAAGTAGGGGTTATTTGATTATTTAGTACTTCCAAATTTGAATGTCACAATTTATAAATGATAACTGACATTATATTGAAGAGAAGAAATGATAGAGGAAATAATCGCATTGAATAATAGTCGACCTTAAAAAAAAGAAATATTTTTAAGTTTCAGTATGAATTAGTCACTTCATTCCAAAATCTTTACTTAAATTTAAGCATTAAAATGATTCCATTTCAGAACCCTGCTTGGTTCAGATATTGAGATTTTTGGACTAAATTTCATTTAATTCTTAAGTAATATCTCTATATGTTCCATCAACCTATACATCTTCTTATTTACTTTTAATGTAGTAGCGAGAATATATGAAACAATTCTTAACAACGATAAAAAGAAAACAAATAAAACTCTTTTAGCTTATTTTTTAAATTTTCAAACTTTGATCTTCAAAAAAAAAAAAAGTTTTTTTTTCGACTATAACTCACAACAAATGTCCTGAATTAATTGTGAAGTTATATTGCAGTAAAAGAAAAACAAGTTTTTTGCTTTTCAATTTGTCAGTTATATTTTTATTTGAGAAAATTCTCTATAATACATTGTTAATTTTTGATCAAGTAAAATTTTGATTTAATTCCTCCATTATTTATTTTCCTTTCACTACTAAAACTCATTCATTAAAATGATTTACAGTTTTTCATTCTCCTTTAAATTTATTAAATAAATTTATTGAAATGTTTACACTTATTTCTTTGTTTAAAAAGAAATAACTATCTTTGGTGAAAAAAAAAAAAAAAAACTAATTGTGAGAAACAAAAAAATTACTCATTAATTTATACCTGTGCAGCAGTAATCGTCCAATCTCGATCACGAAGTTGAACCAATAATTTTCTGATATCTATTATTGGCTGAAGATGAAAAAACCAAAAAAAGAAACGAAGGAGAAATATGAAGAAAATTTAATATATTCTATTAGACAAAGATTTATGCATAAATTTTTGAATTTCTATTAAAACTTAAGAAGAAAGTTACCCATTTAAAAAAACGATGTTCATTTGAAGTATTCTCTTTGTTATCACTAGTAATATCAATATCTGTTGTAGCATTTCCTGCTTTGCGCAATTTTTCTAGATTCACTATGGATGAAATATTTTGTCTCCGTAAAACTTTCACATTGCTATCACTTGAATTTCCATTCAGGTTTTTCCGTTTTCTTCAAAAAAAAAAAAAAAACACTAATTTTTGAATGGATGATTTAATCAACTTCAATAGGTTAAATTTGTTGCCAGTTAAAATGAATACTGCTAATATATATATATAATATTTCCTGCATATATTCGTTTATTTATTTATTTATCCAGTTTACTCATTAATTTATTTTATTTAATTAATTAATATATTTAGAGTGGAATAGAATTTTAATGGCAGATTATAAATTTTGCTAAAACTTATAATTTATTAGCTATTTCTTAGAAATTATATCTGTTATTGAGAACCTTATTTGATTGATCCATTGATTAACCGCATGGCTTCCAATTTGTTTTTCGCGTTCACAACTGTAAAACAAAAAAAGACAAATCGACTTTAGTGAAGCAGTTTAAATGCAAAGCAAAAATTGTTCATTTAAATTGAATAATAATTCATAACGATTTCATATTTCAACTATTTCATATTGTTAATTATTCACTGATTGCTAAATTTGTTCTCAAATTTAAAATTAATAGAAATTTCAACAAAATGTAATGAATACTAACTGATTAAGCCGGCAAATGATAGCTAATTCAACAAGTGTACAGAAAATAAAAATGATCGAACTGATCATCCATACATCCAAGCACTGAAACGTTTAATTTTAATATATAAACATATCACGT